AGATATTATTTTTTAGCAGCTTTGTGTGCATCTGAATTGGTGTGTTTCCAATTTACTTTATACGAACATCATAGTAAATGGGTTCTATCTCTATCGATTGTATAATTGCGCCACCTGATATATTCAGCACTTGTGGGGAATTAGGACTACTAGTAAAAGTCAAGTTTAAATGGCTACAATAACATTCCCATATTTATATTGTATATTCTTTTTTAAGAAAGAATCAAACTAAGGAATGGTTAGTTTTTAAATTAAAAATGTACAATTGCATATATTTATTCTATTAGTGAAAATAGATGATAAATATATTATTTTATTATCCTTGGATAGCGTCTATATAAGCGTGGAAGGAGGCGGGGCAGGAACAATTTGTATCCAATTTGTTTTGAGGGGGGCGGGGGTAGGCGTATTTATGAGGGGTAGGACAAATTATTGGGAGGTTCCGTTAAATATTTAGATATATTAGTGCAAAATATATTGCAGTAAAATTAATACTTTGATTATATGCCTATATATAATACAGTGATATTGCTAATCATCGACCAAATCTATATATTGCATACAATCATAGACATTATTTTTTAAATAAAACTTACTATACTCTTAAATTGCATTTTTAAAAAAGAGACATCAGCAAACTATTATTCAAGCGAAACAATATACTATATTTTCATTCATTGTAAATGAGGTGGTTTTTAATCGAATTCAGTTCTAAAAATAACTTTTTTATATTCAAAATATTGATAAGTTGTAGTATAGTTAAAATAATTTGAGTTATTATTATTATATTAATGAATGAGGGGAGTACCATTATAATTAAAAAGATGTATAATAATGTGAAAATATCCTTACCTAAGGCGTCAAATTTTTTAAGGAAGTTGGAATAAGTTTCTGAGAGGGTTTGCATCCCTTGAACCAAATTATTAAATTAATTGCCAACATAGCAATAAATTTTTAAATTTGTGTAAAAAGATTACAATATTTTTGAATTTTAAAGTATGTATTGCATTTTTATAAATAATTGATATGGTATATACTATTTGAAAGAGTTAAATTTAAATTGTCATATAAACATAAAAGGGAAAAATGGAATGAAATAAATGAATTGTAAAAATATGGTTTAAAAAAGGGGGGGGGGATGGAAACGGTGAATTTAAGAAATGTAGAAAAAAATGATTGTAGAAAAGATTAAAGAAGAAAAACAAGAGGGATACGTGATAGAGAATATAGAAATGGAAACAGACATTTAAAATGAACTAGGTATTTAGCTAATAAATATATGCCCACCCCCTCCCTCTATCTAATCAAGATTATCAAAAAGGAAATCAAATATAACATACTGTTTGTCATCCATTTATATTTATTAGTCACTTTATACTTTTTTATTTTTCTAATTACCATTAGTGACTTACTAACTCCTTAGTCCCTATCAGAGACGTCACTAGCCTTTGCTATCTCAGGGTTTCAAAATATTTTTTAAAATAATGACTTTTTTAGGCTAACATTTAAAAAATGACCTAGCCTTTGCTATCTCAGGATTTCAAAATATTTTTTAAAATAATGACTTTTTTAGGCTAATATTTAAAAAATGACCACTAACATCATCTAAATTTTTAGAGGGCTCTTCAAATTTTAGAGGGCTCGAGCCCCTGGGCCACCTAGTGACTCTACGTGTCCCTGCCCTCTTAAATTTAAATGATGATTTTGCCTATTTCCTGGAACCAACGCCGAGCATATATCAGGCTTTAGTTCTTATCGAGTATATGAATATATCCTTGTACAATATCAGGCCTTGGCTTATCTATACATATTTTTTTTAAATCAAATACAAATATATATTTACATTGGCTAAAACATAGCCAAGGCCTTTAATATGTTCACCAGACCTCTAAAAATATATAAAAAGGAGAGGGAACTTTCCTAATAGTTCATTTTTACTTCCCCCCCCCAAGTGGCGTAGCCAGGATTGATCCATGGGGGAGGGGTTTAAAATTGGTGTCTAACCACTATAGCCAGCATAAATGAAAAACTATTAGTAACAAAAGCCAATAATTAATACGCTACTGAAAGCATTATTCTGAAAATTTTATCAATGTTTAGTCAATTGTCAATTAATTCAATCCATTCGATGTAGAAAGAAGAACAAAATTGCTCCCCAAAACTCCCTTTTTTATGATCACTCAATATATCTTATTCTATGTTAAAAATATAAGTTTTAATTATTGCAGAGAAGTTCATTATAGATTTATTATTTATACAATAAAATAATTTTAAAAATGTATTTAATATACATAAATATAACAATTTTTATGTTAAATTTTTTTTATGTAAAATAAAAATATTTGATTTTATATATAAAAACTAGATGCCATATATATCTTTTATTATGAGTAATTATATAAATGAATTTCTATAGGTCGACAAAACATTTTAAAAAATTTCGGGTTAAGGCCAGCAAAACTTCTTTAAAATTAATTTAGGCAGGGCCGGGGAAAAATTAGGCCAGATGCAGATCACTAATTCTTAGTGCAAATGCAATATTTTTATTAAAAATTGTATAATATATAAATATTATGACTAATAATTCATTATAATTACGTTTTGAATATAGAAATTTTATGACTAAGATCATATTATAATAATACATCAATATTATAATTTGAATTTATATAGAGAGGTTCTGAGATTTGACTAATTTATTTAGAATCAAATTTTTATCTAGAATAATCTCTTATAAATATTTAATATTGCGAATCCATTTAAACGGCATTCACCGGTGCTATTTCTTAAATATGTTTTTAACCTTTTCAAAGTTGAAAAAGACCTTTCATTAGTGCAGGTACTAATTGGTAAGGTAGCTAAGATAAAAAGCAATGTTTTGATATTAGGCAGGGAATCTAAAGTGCAATTATACATGGAAAGGGTTTGAAAAACATATTTTGGTCTCAAAAGGTATTCTATTCTGTCAAAATTTTTATATCAAAATTCGACATCACAAAGTAACTTATCATACGTCCTGATAATTCATCAGAATAAAACTCTGAGAATTTTTTAATATCCTCTCGTGTTTCAAGTGTATTTAGACTCAACCGACAAAAGAAAATAAAAGCGGTTTAAATTGTGACTAATAAATCTTTCCTTTAATTGAAATAAAAATGTATCAATAAGGGAAGCAAAAATATTTATTTTATAAAAATCCTTAATCGTAGATACATCAATATTTAAGCGATTGGACTATCTAGAAACTACTCTAGGTTTAAAAATTTTAATCCCAAACATTAGCAATCACCTTTACTTTCTCATTATATTTACCAAATTAAATGATTTTTCTTTTATTTAAAAATTATAAAAAATAATTAAAAATTTTAAACTATCTAATTAGTTTAACTATAAATATATTATTAAATACATAAAAATCTAATTTAACTATGCTAGAAAAAATTTACAATATATTTTTATTGTTATTTAATATTTACATATAATTTTTAATGTATATTTTTATATCATTTAAAATTTAAAATTCTTATTTGTTTTTTTTAATATATTTCATTTTCATATAGTATATAATTTTATTTATAAATTGAAACCATTTTTAAATAAAATTTTCCGAATTAGAAAAAACTTTAAAAAAAATTTCCAGAGGTTGCCCCCCCCCCCTTTTATACGCCCCACCCCCTTACTGGTTATTGATTTCAATGTGACTCTATTTATGTTGTTGATACAGCATCGTACCAATTTCCAAAATAAAAAATTATTAAATTGGTAGTGCATATGCCCACTAGTGTTGAATGCAACAGAGCTACGCTAGGTTTTCCTCATTTCCATCTTATTGGAACTAATTTAATTTGGGTATAAAAGTCAAAATATGAGGAGCCCTCCACACGTTTGTGGGCAAGCCGCACGTACTTGTAGGCGCAACATTTCGAAAAACATTACTTAAACCTCTATAGGCGTATTTAAAAGGGAGTGGGACAAAAATAGAGCCTATACCCTAGAACTTCAGTGAAAGTTAATTACATTATGGTGGGTTGAGGACAATTTTAAATTAAAAATCTTTACTATATTAGAACAATTTTATTAAGGAAATGCAAAAGAATACTTATAGGAGGATTTGAATGATTGTTGATATTGGAAATATTTGATAATAATGAGTTTAAATTCTTGAAATTTATTACGATAGGAAATATAAAATAGGGATAATTAGATAATAATAGTGAACATTGAATTCTGAGATGTATTTTTATTCTTATTAGAGGTAACCTTTCTTGATGCGAAACACCTTTTTAATGGATCTTTTATTGTTATTTAGTTTAATGAATTGTTTCATGTTCACGTTTAAGTCCATTATATCTTTTATTGTTTTATAATACCATAATGTTTTGTATTTTGTGTATTGTTTTCCATTGTATGAGTACAGCCATGTTACGGAATCATGGACTAAGTTATTATCTGAATTTCTTATTATGTGGCCTAAGAACTGAATCCGGCGTTTTTTAAGAGTAATATTTATTGGTGTGTGAGTTGACTTCCTCCAAAGATTTGAGTTTGAGATAACTCTTGGATAGAAAATACCGTGTATAGTGCGAAGACAATTATTTATAAAAGATTGAAGACGCCTGATATCTCCACCATATAATATAATTGGAACTATCAACGAGTTGAATATCCTCAATCTAGTAAATACTGAGATTTCTCTAGCTTTCCAATCTTCATATATCTATAAAAAGCGCCTCTAGCTTTTTGTATTCTCATCTTCATCTCATCTTTACAACTTCCTTTATTATCTAAGATTACACTTAAGTATTTTATTTTCTCTACGATTTTCACTGTATTCTCTCCAACTGTAAAATTTTGGATTGAAGACGCGTTTGGGGAGGGAAGAATAACAGTTTTGTTAAAGTTGATCTTAATCCAACATGTCTTATAAATTAATTAAAATATTGTGATAAATGATTGTCATGCTTAAATTATTCGAAATTATATTTTGTAACATATGGGATTTAAAAATGTTAGTTGATAACAATTTTAACGTGCAAGATAAGATAAGATAAGATAAAAATACTAGAGCATGTTTTATATAAATTAAAGACTGAAAATGGATTTAACTGTAGATATCATGAGTTTATAATAGCTAAAGAGATATATGGCGAGCAATAATTTATATGATATATATGTCTTACTCAGGAACAATGCAATTCAAACAAGAAGGTTTTTTACACATCAAGAAAACCATGTTAGTAAATTTTGAATATGGTATTTATAATAAATATTTAACTAATATTAAAAGTAATAAGAAATGAGTTGAAAAGAATGGACAAATTAATTCAAATTTACATATATTTTTTAAAAATTTATATTACAATTCTTAAACAAGCATTATTGGATTCTTTCTTTATATTAAAACAAAATTTAAAAAAAACAAATATTCAAAAGAATAACAATCCCATAATGTTTAATTATCTATAATATAAGAATTTATTCCAAAATATATTTTATTAATGCTTATAATAAACTTAAATAAGAATTATAATATTTCTTAACATAAGAACCATGAAGATAAAGTATCCCTTATGCAGCCAAATAAAAATCTGGAGGATATTGAGATGGGTATTTCAGGAAGTAATACAGAAATGGAATATGAAATCCCTAAATGGTATTTAAAAATATTTTACATTTATATCATATAATATTCTGATTTAAAAATTAAAATATATATTATTAGACATAAAAATGTTTTGAATATACTTATACATTTTTTTTTATATAATAGGGCTGTGTCAATTAAAAATTTTTTTTACCCAATGACATAAATACAGGGTGTGATTCTGGGTCAGAACATTCCCTAATCGAATGTTTGCAGAATGCCTGTGTTAAAAAAATTTTCACTTTATAATTAAGCATATTACCAATCTTTAGAGAGTAAAAATCAGTTATAAACTGACAATATTATAAAGAAATATAGTTTCATTTTAAATTTAAAATATTACAAGTAGGTATAAAATATTAAAGGTACTATAGCTCTATTATATAATAATGGGCATGACTAAAATACACGCCCCCGAAAACTACACACCCTTGTCAAAGAAGCTTAATTTAAATTATATTATTACAGAAGCGTATTTAGATTCATAAGATGAGTTAATAAATGTTTTTTTTATTTAAAAAAAATATGGTAACATAGTAAAATTTTAAAAAAATTATTTTATTACATGACTAAACTAAGCGCCCCCCTATCAAAGAAGCTTAATATATAAAAAATGACGCAGAATCATATATAACTTATTAAAAGGAATCAAAAAATGTTAATACTAAGTTTATAAATTATTTATTTATTGAGATTTTGAAATTTCACTTAATATCTTCTTGACTAAGTTTTTTTTTTAATTTTACTATTTTGCCATATTTTTTTAAATCAAAAAACATTTTCTACTACGATTCTGTATTAATATAATTTAAATTAATCTTAGTTTTTGGGGGTGTGTATTTTAGTCATGCCCTATGATAATATGCAGATTCATCAATTTATATAATTTTGATATTCTTCTGTAATTTTATTATCTTTATCAATCAATTTTTATAAATACACAATTCATTCAAAAACAAATCATATTTGGAAAAATTTATAAAAGTAAAACATCTCAAAAGTAAAATTTTATATCAATTGATGGATTTTCATAGAATTTTATAAAACAAAAATGTTATTAAAATTATTTCAAAATAATTTTATATTTATGACCAATTATTAATTTATATTGATTAATATATGTGTTTTTTTATAAAATGAAAAATTACACAGGCTGGACATAGTGGAAGAGGTTAAAATTTAGTCCTTTAATATTTTTTTAAAATTTTTTACATTTTAGGTGAACTATGGAATAACTAAAATAAAACAGAAAGGTAATCTTCATATACAAACATATATAATAAAATATGGTTATATTTGAAAAAATACAATACTATTAAAATTTAAAATTGGATATAAAGACATCAGAAATAGATATTTCAAAAAAATGAATTAAATGTCTATCTTTTCAACATGTATCATCTAATTAATATTTTAGTCAGTCCCTGTAATTTTAATAAATAAATTAAGCAATGGTTCATAAGTTTATCTCAAAATTAAAAATTTATAAGATAATTATTTTACACGATGGGACATATCTTTGGCTAAATTATATCTTCAAATTTAAATTATTTTGCTATTTTTTAACTTTAAAATCATTTATTTTAGCCTATGTTTATAAAACTAAAAAAGTTGATTTTGCTGGAAATGTAGTATGTCTAAAATGTTTACACTATTAATTTTAAACAATTTTATTAGATATTACACATATTGCCTTTATTATGCACATAGCCATTAATGCATATATATATGACATGGAATATTCCCGAATCATTAATTGTCAGTTTTAGACATCCTTCAAAGATTCTAGAACATTTCAGAAAATAGAGAAATCTCAAGAAAAAAAACTCCCCAGGAAAAAAAACTCCTGGAATTTTTTTTCATATAGAATTTAAGACCTAAGTCATATTTTTATTTGGATTATAATGGATATACTCATATTTATAATTTATAGACATATTAGTTCTTCTGAAAAAATAATATAAAAATATAATATATTAATAAGCTAATTTTTTTTAGGCCCTAATACATTATTTAAAGATTACTCATATACCCTCCATAAAAAATTCTTAAATAAGATCAAATGCTGGAGTTCAAATTGGTACTGGGAAAAAATACCCCATTAAAATGTAGACTAAATTTGACAAAATTTTATAATAAAATATATTTATTTTATAATAAAATATATTTATTTTATTGTAAATCATGATTATTTAATACAAATTTAATAATTTAGAATAATAATTATATGGGTTGACTTCGAATATTTAAGGAAATCGCTCTTATAAAATCTGAAGGGCTTCATACCCCATCATAGTACTCGCAAAGTTTCTTTAACCGAATCTGGGTATTAAAACTCTGCGATTTTGTTTTCAGTGTCCAACTATCTACACGCCATCGTTCAAGTTTGGCTTCATCGGTAGCCACTTCGCATTCCCTTTTTTTATTCAATACCAAGATTGTTGGGTGTTTATATCCAACCAGATTAGAATAACGATGATTCCAACCTTCGCATTGATTATTTATGCGTTCTTCATCGGAATAGAGTGCTCTAATTAACGTTTCAAGTTTCTGGAGAAAATCGAGGCTTAATTGAGAATTGCTTGACAAATTCTATATTTATGAAAAAAAAGTCCGGTGGTTTTTTTCCTGGGATTTTTTTTTCCGGGGTTTTATTTCCTGAGGTTTTTTTTTCCTATAACTAACATTAAGAAAATTGGAACGGAATAGGAGCAAGAACATTTTAAATTTTTGTAGGAATTAAAACTAAACTAAAATTTAATGAAACTGATGCAACACGAAAAAAATACCCTTGTTTAGAGTACCTTAATATTAATAGAATATTATTTTTTAGATAAACCATCGTAAAATTAAAAATTTAAGGCAGACATTTAAAAAAGGCACTCAGGTGTCATGTTAGTCACCCTCCGTTGAATTTTTAGATAATTAAAATATTGATATGGGCGTTTGCAAATAATTATAAAAAATAATACAAAACAACTCAAAGTTTATAAGTTCTCGATGGGGGAAGGGGATTATATAAAAAAAAATAATATAAGATGTCAATTAAATTTATTTATACTTTTTTCAAAGTGAAAGAGTTGGATACCTTGCACCAACAACAGTCTAGCAGGCCAACATTCGACGAATATTCCCCCCTGGAAAACGAAATTCAATCGAAAAGTCATCAACTTGTTCAGGTATTCCTATTATTTAACTTTCCTGAATTTTATTTTGCACAAACTATTCATTCATTAAAATGCATTTTAAAGCGGGGTATGATAAGAATCAGCTGGTGACACGCCATTTTAGTTTCTCATTTAATTTTTTATATATATTATAAACGAAACGTCCTTAATTTTATCCTATGCAGTGACATTATAATACTTATACCTTAGGGCCGCATTTAAAATATAACGGTTTGTTCAAGCGTTGCGTTATTTAACGAATCGTTATTACAAAGTAAAGTCAATAAATAGGTATAAATATGAAGTGTTAGGAAGATAACGCTATGATAAAATTTGAAAAACATATTACGCGATGCATTGATAAAAAATATGCAACGATTATAAAAATAATAGCGAATTCGATAAAAGGGTATATGATTTTTTAAAAATATTATATAAAATTCGTGATGCGTGATATATAGCTCTTATGCCCTTTGTTTTCCTCATTTCCAACTAATTGGAACAAAATTTAATTTGGGTATAAAGTAAAATATGATCGTTTGTAGGCAAGCCGCACGTACTTGTAGGCGTAACATTCTGAAAAATGTTGCAGACGCCCATAGGCTTTGTAAAAAAAAGAGAGCGGGTCAAACTACAAGAGCCTATTACCGAGAACTGCAGAATAATTTAATTAATTTAAGGGTGGGTTTTGGATTCTTTTTATTTAAATTAAATTTATGGTGTTATACTTTAACATTAATTTTGCGAAAAATTCAAGTCATACAGACGATTTGATATTTGTTAGAAAAAAAGCAGACGATTTAGTTTAAGATTAGGAAATATCATGTAGAGTGTTATATTGTTAAGGTTAAGATTGTTTTTTTAAGAATAATGAAAAAAAAAGAAAAGATTAATTAAGTAGGGTTAGGGAAAAAATAATATAGATTATTAAATTATAAAGATTAAAAAAATAAAAATTATTTATAGTGATTTAGTTAAGTTTTGAGAAATAGTTGTTAATAGGTAATTTAGATAGGAAAAAAGAGTGTATTTATATAAATTGATGATTGAATGTATTCATATAAATTGAATGATAAGTAAACTTGTTAAGCAAAGAAAAAATAAAGGTGAGTTATTTTTGGTGATTTGAAGATGTTTAAGGAATATATATATATAAAGATACTTGATATTTTTCTTAGTTGTAGTTTATGGAAAAATTATATATAGATTAAGATTATAAATTCTTTCAAGAAAATTGTGAATTTGATAAGGATTGTAGAGGTGATAAAAAAATAGTGATATATAGTGATCCAAATTAGTATTTGATTGAGTGTCTTGTAAAAAATTGTAGTAATGGTGAAGATAATGTGTAAGATTGATAAGGAAATATTTAAATAAAAATATAAGAAATAAAAAGTTAGCCTGATTCTTGAGGTAAGAAGAAACATTGTATCATGGATAGTTATATGTGATTTATTATAATCTTGGTATAAAGGATTGCCCCGAAGCTGGGGAAATTTTTTTTATTAAATTTTCCCGCTCTCCCTATGACTATTTTAACCCGGCCTCACTCGTAAAATAGATATTGTTCAAGTTAACTCACCAAGCTTGGAAAAAAGGTGTTGCATGGGCACCCAGGCCTGGCTTTCGGGATTGGCCACATCATATTCAAATTAATATAATCGCATCAGGCTGAATTAGGGATAAGATTTATTTATAAAATGTATTTAATTTTGATATTATTTATCTATGCTTTCCAAAATGTGAAGAATAATTAAATATAAAGCTTTATTATAATATATTTAATTTGATATTTTCAGATGCTATCCCATTGCCAAACTCTGGCCAAAAAACTTTCCTCATTTTCCACGGTCTATTCTCCCAAATCCGAAAAATCCTTGCACAAAAATATAACATCCTATCTCGTAACCACTTTATGCGAACTCACGTCCGCATTCCGTTTATCGCAATCAAACTATCTTAAACGTTAACATTTTATTTTATTCTTCATTTTCTTTTGCTTTTGATATTGTATTTTGATTTATATTCTTTTTTTCCCCCAAATAATGTTAATTTTAAAATACCAAAGCTCTTATATTTATAGAAAGAATACAGAAATTAATTTAGATCCAACATAATTTATATTAAAGGGTGCTGTCAGTAAAAATTTATAAAGAGTGGCTCAAGACAAATAGCATTTTCATTCATTATCGGTAATATAGTTCAAAAAATAAGCATATCTTTCTTTCGTATTTCTAAATTTAAAAGTTAAAAATCCAACATCTAAAACATTTAGCGCAATGTTAAAGGATGATTTTATTTCATTTTTTTAAGAAAAGACTGACATAAATATGGTATAATATGGCCATTTTACCCCAACTCTAAAAATTTTTTTTTTAATAGATTAGAACTTATTTATTTATTATTATTATAGAAATTGAGAGGCGCAAAACCATCTATTCGGATATCATGAACCTCGATGATTATAGCCATAAAAGTCATTTAACTAATAAAGGTACCTGTGAAAATTATAAATAAGATTTAGAAACTTGAGACCCGTGCGTAAAATTTAAATAAAAAAGAATCAGGGTCTAGCGAAACAAGGTTGAGCCGAAATACCCCAAATTATAAAAGCTGGATCATGTTAAAAATTGACTTTTTTTTAAATACAAACCCACACCTTCCATTTTATTATGTTCTTGGTTGTTGTATATTTTACATTATTAAATTCGTATGGCATAATTTTTTTTTTAATATTAGCAGTTGATACTATTATAAGCAGTTCGGACACGGCTATCATGCAGGAAACAGCTGTTATAATGACCGAAAAAGAATCAAACCGCTCAAATAATTCGCAACCTAAAAATTCTTACCAATTTGATCCCGATATCCTTGAAACTAATTTTCAGGTATTTGCAAACGAATATCCTCCAAAATGTTATTTTTTTATTTTTGCCCCATAATTATTTTTGAAAGTGTTTTTTTAAAAAAAATCAATGAATATATATATTTCCTGTAATCCCACGCATTATGACCAGGGTTGCCAGATTCATTTAAATCAAAAATAAAAATGGGATTTAACCATAATTCCAAAAAAAAGGATTTTTTATAACGAATATGGATGTTAAACTTGTCTTTTTTAAACTGTAATTTATATTTGTTTTTCCCTTTCTCGAAGATATGGATAATAAAAAATAAACAAAGAATAAGATGCCCTTTTAAATATACGATTGAATTAAAATAACTTTTTTAAAAAAATGATAGCGTATACGTCTCTGGTTAAGCTATTTTTAATTATTTTATTTATTTATTTTAAAAAAATTTATATAAAAAAATATTTGGAGAATTCATTTTAAGAATATCGGGCATCAGCGTAAGAATCGGGAGAAAGCGTAAATCTATACGGCGTGTTTTAACGTTAATTAAAGTTTCAAAAAAATGAGAAATTTCGCCAAAAGGCATAAGATCTGGCAACTCTGATTATAACATTTTAAAGCTTCCCACCTCCCCCACCTCCACCTTTAGAAACAAACTTCCATATTCCCTACCGCAAAACCCAGACATGGGAAAGAATATGTGAGCGGAAGAGAAGATTGCTAAGAAGGAGATGTGTAAATAAAATAGGGAAAGAAAAAAGTGGAAGAAAGAATATTTTAAGGGTTGATTTAAAGGAATATTTGAAAGGAAACACTGAAGGTCAATTTTTTTTTCCAATTAAAAGTGATTTATAAATAACTCTTAAACTACTTATTAAAAACTATATGAGACATAATTTTAAAATACATATTAAAAATTTCTTTAAAAAAAAACAAACATTAAAACCAAAAAACGAAGTTAAAAAGGGTCATCTATATCTGGCTACGGCCTCTGAATAATTTAAAATGATAACGTAAAATTTCGAAACTAATTTGTTGTTTAATCTAAAATGCCAAATTTATTGTTTTTTGTGGCCTCAATTGACGGATTCGTTCGATTAAGAATTTCGCCTGTTTTTAAACAGTTTTTTTGATACCATGATTGGCATAAAATATATTGTTTTTGGATAGATGTGAATATTTTTGTGATTTTATTTTCTCAGCAATACCTAATGGATCCTTATTATTAAAAGGCCAATGCGTTTCCAGCCAAGAGTATGTCCATCAGGCCGTTAATTATTGATAATATAAAACTGGTCGCATATTTTTATTGATTTTTAGATACATTTTGGAAATCAATTATACCATATTTTTTTTGAAAAAAAAAACTTTTCAATCATTAATTTTCCATTATATCAAAAAGAATGCTTTCACGGATATAGATTGGGGCTTAAATTATTAAGGAATGCTATTAATTTTTATAATTTTACACCCTAAAAGACCTGAGTGTCATCAAAAAGTTGACAGAAAATATTTATTTTAAAAAAATGATTTGGAAGATTAATCTCTTTTGCCATTTGTTGACTTTTTTTTTTACAGGATTGCCATTTATGTTTAAATACTAAAAAAATTTTTTTTATAATTAAACATCTAAGACAAATCATCAAATCATGATCCAAGACCAAAAACAGTCCAAAGCACCCTTGTTCTTGCTTGAACAAGAGGAGAATTTTTACGCCATCAGGGAGAAAGAAGTTCAGAATCTTGTAAAATCGATCACAGATTTGAACGTTATTTTCAAGGATTTGTCACAAATTGTTGTTGAACAGGTTTTTTTAATTGTTATTTGTGTGAATTTCGGATGAGACAAATAGCTTAATAAGATGAAGAAAAGAAAGCTAAAGCAAATAATGAATAAAATAAAGAAAGTAATAAATTATGAGAATTAAAAAATATATATAGAGGAAGGAATTTGGAAATAGGTATATAAAAATGGAATAGAAAACAAATGAGAAATAAATATAAACTTATATATTTGTAAAATATTGGTAGGGAACCCTCGTGGATCGCATAGACTACAACATGGAAAAATCATCGGCCATCGTGGCTTCCGGTCTTAGTCAGCTGACTCGAGCCTCTGCTTACCAAAAATCTTACAGCCACAAAAAATTTATTTGTATATTGTTATTAGCTTTTTTGGTTGTTTTCATGGCCATCTTATTGATCCTTTTTAAAATATGAAAATGATTTCAAACAAAGAAAAACGCCTTTTAAAAAAGAAATTAAGAAGAACGCGGTAACATCGCACGTATCAAGGGGAGAAGATGAAGAATATCTCACTTTTATTAATTTTATTCTTTTTAAAAATCTATTATTTATCATGGAATTCGTTTGCTCTAAAACTATAAATGCAGTACCGTAATATACCGCCAAAATAATTATTTAATTACTAGAGAGTTTTTTAAGTTAAATTTTGGCCTCCACCATCTTTCTAGGATACAAACAGTCATCGCCTTGTCAACTTCCATTAACTATTAGATAGCTATTAGTCTTAAAAACCACTTTTCTAATGTTTCATGAATTCTATGATTTTGGGCGCGTTTGTGTGTGCACATTATTATTCGTTCGTGAAAGTTTCATTTGTCATACTTTCGTGAGAGGAACTAATTTAATAGTTTTAGAATCTTAATCATTCCTTTTATTTATCGCAAGTTAAACGACTAACACTTATTAGTTAAAAAAATAATTAGTCTATAATATCAAGATTTTATGTTTTTTTTTCGAGGATTAAGTAATCATATGAATGCATCATTTATTATATATATTTTTTTACCTTAAATTCGTTTTGTAATAATATACATATTTATTTTATACTGACGAAACCAAGTGATGATTAAAACGCCATATTCGTAATTATATATTTATTTATAATATGCCATGTTTTATTACGATACTATTTTATATACTATAAAAATAATATATTCTTCAAAGAAGATATATAAAACAAATTTGGAAATGCTAGGTTGAGTATTATAATGTTCTATATCCAGCGTCTACATGACAGAATATTCACTAGAAGTAAACAATCCGCCCTCAAAAACTTAAACCCACCCCTCTAAAAAAATTTTGCATTCGCGTCAATATTTTCACACGAATTACACATTTTTAATTATAGTTTCATATATTTTAAAATTCTCCCTCTATTGCAAACTAAATAAAGTAAATGTAAAAGATTTATTATTTAAACCATAGGAACCCCCTCAGTTAATGAATGCAATGAATTATTATAGTATATTGTTTCGCATGAATATGAGTTTGCTTATAGAATCTATAACCTTTTTAAATTACATTTTAAAAGTTAACAGAAAATTATCCAGAAATAAGTTTTATTTGAAAAATAATGACTAAGATTGTATGCAATGTACAAATTTGGTTTATGTTTTGCAATGCCATTATAAAGGTCTATAAGCAATATATTTTGCCTAAATATATAATAGATATCTTACCAATAAATTTTTACTACCTCTGACTTACCACCTTTAAATGCTTGCCCCATACACATTTTAAAAACTTTGAAAACTAGTTGTACACCTCCTTGTTCATGTCATGTAGAAGACTATTGTAGTTAAACGGCTCTGGGTCGATTTTTAAAAACGGCTCGATTAAAATTTTAGCCAAACGAATACTATTATTAGCCTGGAAACTTTGCTCATAGATAGCATAAAACTTTGGACCTCTATTTGCCAAATCTCGAGACTTCCATAATATTATTTTGGTTAAAAAGCTTTTTTTAATCGATCTTCAGGCCTTTTAACAATACTAATGTAAGCTCTGTCTGTATGAATTTTTTAAAAATAATTCAGGACAGCATTTTAAAAAGAAGCAAGTATTTCTTGTATTTTAGATAGGATATAACAATTTAAAAATATAAATAAAGGATCATTCTAAATTATATTTTAACATTTTTGTTGCAGAAATATAAGAATAATATAGTACTGAAGAATTCATTTATCATAAAAAAGCATTTTGCGAATAAAGTGGATATGGAACATTATAATACCCAGCCGTCGAAACGTTAGAATTGTAAGAGAAAAATGGAAAAAGTTCCGGGTAGTGTTGTAATACGGCTCGATGTTAACCGTTCTTAAAAATCTAGCCGTTTAACAACTCTACTCGTAACCAATTAAAAAATTTAAAATAGCTCTAATCTACATCAAAATAATTAGAAAAATACTTATACAAAGTTATTTCTTTAAGTTAATTTGTTTTCAAGATTATAATAGGACTAACTCAAAATTAAACTTGGAAAATGAACAACTTTTTGTATACTCAAAAATCAGCCCAAAATGAATATATATTGAATTTAAGCAAACTAGACATATTTTATGAAATATATAATGTTTAATAAAAAAAATTTATCTTATCTTTTTAGCTTTATTTAGTAAAAAAATAAAAAAATTTATGCATCTTTTGGCTTCCTTAAAGTAAGTTCTTGTTTAGCCTAGCCAAATTTTTTTTTATTGAGTCCTACCCATTGGTCCTACTTTAATATATTGATAGAAAATAATTCAGAAAAGTTTAATATTTTCTTCAGTCTAGCTAAATATAATACTATTTGAATTAATATAAAGTATATAAATGAATATATAAATTTTTTTTCATATAATGTAATATATATTTATTTTTACCATTTGTTTTTGCTTAGAGAAAGAAAATTAAAATCAAAACTGGATAATTGCGACTTGTAAAAATTAAAGTTTTCGTACTTATCCGATTTTTCACAATTATAAGACTAAATTTTAATTATTTACAATATAAACCAATTTGGTGCTAATAGAAATATATTATATGTACAAAATATATTAAATTTGTTATACGATTTTTATTATTAAGATAATAATTACTAAGATATTTTTTAAAATCACTAAAAATATTTTTCCAGAAATTTGTGTCTAATCTGTGATATAACATGATTTTTTTTTAATTTTGCCTCGCCCAAGCTTGGTTATATTAGTCACCAAAATTTAACAGGTTAAAATTATTATTATCATAAAATATTTCAATGATAAATATACCTATTCTAAGGATAAATACAAAGGCAAATTAATCCACATATGTATGTGCATACCGGATAAAGATATTTTCTCGGTTTTAACCACTAGGTTCTATCAACAACTAATTTCCTAGTATTTTATCACTAATTTTTGGTTTAAACGTTTCTACTAATTTATTTATTTCTTTACCTTTTTTTTTCTTGGATAATCTTATGCTTTGTATAATAATCGTAAAAATTAAAATGAAAAAGTAAAATAATCAAACAAATGTAATAATCTTTATTTTCTTCTTTTTACGAGGTTTTTATAACCCCCTACCCCCCCCCCCCCCAAAAAAATAAATAAAATAAATATAAATAAATAATGTTTAAAAAAAAATATTGACAAATAATATTGATAAAAAAATAATATGGATAATAAAATAAAAAAAATAAATATTCTTAATGACTTGCACTAATTACAAAATAAGGAATATTTACAACAGATATCAAATCTCTTCATATCTTGACTTCTATTAGGCAATCAAGTTCAGATATCTCTTCTACAACATCATTCATATCATCACTTTCTGCACTATCATATCCTTCTAGGAAATAAGATTAGTTCTATTGTTTATAAAAAGAATAAACCTTCCAATTCTTGATTACAAATTATCCTGATCATTTAATATGCCACGGTAGCTTGCATTATCATCATGTATGTAAGCAGGGTTGCCATGTCTCCCCCCGTCAGCGGGAGACTCCGCTATTTTTTAGTTTACACGCAGACAACTCTCTCCCGCAAAACTACCGCAATTGGAAATCTACCGTAATTTTTTAATTTCTTTCGCATTTTTTTTTTTAGTATTTTAACATTTTTAATATATAAATAATAATTTTGAGAGACATTAATTAATTATTTTTATATTTTTAATATTTATTCGAAAAACATGTCTAATTTGTTAATTTCTTTCTATCCTGTTTTATTTTTATCCAATAATAAATCAACATCATTTCATTCATATAAGTCAGTACAGGGGAGTATATCAACATCGATAATAAATAATACAGATGCAACTACATTTGCGGAAATCGTATACATCTATCATGTAGTTCAACATTTATAGAGCTATATCATCACAATGTGGGTCGAATCTTTTTCTCATGATATTTAACGACTCCAATATAAATGCAAACCTTACTTGTGGCAGATAAAAAATAAGCAAGGTAATCAGAAGTGTTTTAGTATTCGAATCCTAGAGGTCAATTTAAGAAGATTTGAAAGATGGACATCCATATACAATTCTAACAGATGCAACTAATAACGGAAATATTAACATATCCCTCGATCCTTCGCTATTTTTACAAAAATAAGAACATTTCAATAAAACTGTTAAAAATTTTTCCTCGGATGGTGAAAAATCCAACGATATAGCTAGCCACATAATGGTAAATATAGCTGATTCAGGATTATCAATGATTCGCATGCCAGCTTTCTTCGCTGATAATGCCTCTGTAAATTTTGGCACAAAGTTACCGAATTGAGGCAGCATAATTATGAATTTATACCAATTGGCTGTATATGCCATATACTAAGAAGGCAATAAATGTACTATCTGTGGATGTCGAAATAATTGTGATGAAATGTTTTAACGAATTTAGTCATCAACTAAAAAGGTTAATGAATTAAAAGAGTTTTTAAAATTTTACAAACCCTTAAAAAAATACTTCTTAAATAAAGATTTTAAAAGCTGTCCTAAAATATTGAAAATTTTTTTCGAGTATGAAATGGCAGAAGCATATTTAGGATTCGTTTCACATGTAGGAAATCTACTTCATGCAGTTAATATTCAGTTGCAATCAGAATATTCTTTATAAAAAAGATTCACAAAATCATGCTACAGCTCTGTTCATCTCTACAGTTAAAAATTGATAATAAATTTTATGTCGCTATTGCTAAAAATATTATATTAAAATGTTCAAATAATACTCTAATTAATACATTTTTAAATGAAACAGATATTTTTATTAAGACAATTTTAGAATATTTACAATTAAAATTTGATTTTAATAACTCTATTTACAAATGTATAAATATTATGACCTTGGAACAGAAACCATCAATTGATGGTTTTTATAATTTAATAAATATATTAAAAATACTGAAAGACATTGATGTCTTGTTTGAGGAGATTGTAATTCTCTCTATTTTTTTATGATACGCCAAAATACTTAGTTAGATGGTCTAAAAGCAGAGGAGAAATGGATAGAATCTTTTCGTAATAACGATAAATCCCCATGCTTGGAAAAAATATGCAAGTATATCTTCTCCTTATCTCATTCTAATACCTCATCCGAGCGCATTTTTAGCCTGATGAGGACTGCCTGGAAAAAGGAGAGAAATCGGATTGCTATAACAACATTAGAGGCCGAGCTAATGGTTAAACAAATATATAATATGTCATGCCAGGAATTTTATAAATATCTCAATAACGACGGTAAACATTTAATTCTATTATTTAATCTCAAATAAAATATAATTAAGTTTTAACAATGGCGCCATAAAATTTATTGTCAATTTTTAATTGTAAAGATGAACACATCTGCAGCATAATTTTGTGAATCTTTGTTAAGATTCTTCTGATTGGAACTACACATTAACAGAATGTAGTAGATTTCCTACATGTGAAATCATTCCTAAATATACTTCTGCCATTATTCAAAAAAAATTTCAAAATATTAGGACAGCTTTAATTTTTATTTAAGAAATATTTTTTTAAAGGTTTATAAAATTTTAAAATTCTATCGATGGCGGGTATTAGGAACATATCGCAACCAACATTGTGCTGACTCAATTCTGTAAATACACTCTGTTTTTATCAAATTCACTGAGGCATCATTAGATCAGAAAGCTGACATGCAATTTATTGATAATCTCGAATCTGATATATTTACCACTATATGGTTAGATATGTCTTTGGATTAATCACTATTTGAGGGGAAAAATTTTATAGTTTTATTGAAACGACCTTAATTTTGATGAAATAGCGGAGGATCAAGGGAAATATTTAATATTTCCATTATTAGATGCATCTGTTAGAATTGTATATGTATGCCCTATTTTCAAATCGTCAAGAATTGAACTCCTGGATTTAGGTTCTAAAACAATGATAGCCTTGCTCATTTTTGTTCTACAAGTATAGTTTTCATTTATATTAGAGTCGTTAAATATTATGGGAAAAAGATTCTACCAACATTGCGATCATAAGTATCTCTGTGAATGTTGTACTACAAGATAAGTAATTACAATTGCCACAACTGTAGTTTCATGTGTATTATTTCTTATTTTTGGAATACCTTATTATGTATTTAAACGTGATACGTGATAATTAAGCGCATATTTTTATAATGTTATACACACACGGTAGATTTCCAATTGCGGTCGTTTTGCGGGACATTCGCATAAAATATATTTTTAATTGTAAAATTAAAATCGTTTTTTTTATAAAATTTTATCTTATTTACATTTTTTTGTATATAAAAATTTATGTTGGTTTTTTTATGAATTATTATATTTTAATAAATCAAGATGTTATTTTATTTTGAAAAATAGTTACCGACTTTGTATTTATATAAACTAAATAAAAAATAATAGGCGGTTAATTAAGTCAATTCAAAATCCCGGCCCAATTTTTTTTAGCAGTTTTTATATTTCCACAGCGATTTTTATATTTCTCCCGCATAATACCAAATTTCTCCCGCAATTTGAAAATTTTGACCTGGCAACCCTGTATGTAAGGCATAAGATAGAAACATAGGACCTATTTTACCCTCTATTGCTTTTGTCACTCTTTCATGATTGTTTATAATATACCTTTTCTAGAATTACATTTAAATGATCGAATAACTCACATATCCAGAGGTTGAATAAGTGAGGTAGTATTTGGAAGTAAAAAGATTACTGTTATATTTTTATTCTAATAAAGTTTTGTGGCAACTAGCATTGTCACAAAACAATAATTTTTCTTTCTTGAATAACAAATCACATTCCTTGATGTCTTCAAAGATTAGTGACCATCCAAATGCTTTTATTAGAATAATGTTTAACAGTTTTTTGTCTCATCTCCGTTTATGACAAAAAAACTGTTGTCTTTTCTATATCTGATTTTAATTCTAATTGTTGGGTTCAACTAAATTCCATGGTTTAATATTGCAAGGTAGTACAGTCCTGTTTCATCAAATTATATATGTTGAATCTGGTATAACCATTTATAATAGAAGGAATCGTTTTCTTGCTCCAAATATTGGCACTAGTAAGATCTGCACCACCTCAATGTAGATTATGTGAAAATTAAGATGTCTTTTCCTAAATCTTTGAAACAACTGACAGTAAGAATCTTTAAAATGTAAAAAAATATAGATATTTATAAAAATTTAGAATTACCTTTAGCAAATGTTTTGTTTTAAAATCTATACTTTTCCAGTATGACAGGGCCATTAATCCTTAGTTCTCTTCAAACGCTTAGATTCAAATTTGCTTCACAACTATTGTCTTTTTTCATTATAATTACCCAATGATATATCTAAAGTTTCGTACCTTACATTCAATTAAGAATTTTTATTTTTTCAATGAGAAAATTTTAATACATCTATCAAAGGTAATCAGGTTAAAACTACTAACAAAATTTTCAATTTTGAAACAGGCCAATCCCTAATTTTCAGTTGTTCATGTAAATTTTTTTTTTACTTACACAACTTTATAATTAACGTATCATTTATATTCAAAATTCCTTCTTATATTAATTAAGTTAGAAACTCTATAAAATTAATGACGAAAATAATAACATGTTTATTTATCCATTTAATAAAATATCTTTTAAAACCAAAGTATAAATTTATCATATTTGCGTAATTTACCTAATTCAACAAGCTAATGATTCCATTTGATTGAAATATATTATAAATGATAGTAGATATGTATATAACATAAATCCACTACATCTATACAAATATTGCAGGTAAAAATTTTGAAATCCCTATTTCCCAACCTCATAGGATTTTCCATTCTATGTTTATCGTTCTCACATTAACTATTTTTAGAACTATCATTTTTAAAATATTTATAGTATGTGCAGGAGTATTTCTGACATTGCGGGTTCTGGAATGAACTAATGAAGAGATTATAAGCTATATCCAAACATTCATTAATTCTACGAAGAATGCCAAATATATTGGGGGTATTTATTGCTTTATTTTACAGATAAAGTGAAACGAATGAAATGTACAAAGTGAACATATATAGGAGAAAGTTGAAGATGTTCCTTAAATCTTTAGTAAAAACTTTTACTTTTACTGATTCTTGCTGTTAATAAACTTTTTTACTTATAAGATGTTCCTTAAAACTTTAGTATGAATTTTTACATTTTAAAATCTATTTATTTATTGTGATGAAATTAACTAATAAGAAAATATAATTTCTTATTTTAATATATTTGTAAAATTTAAGAAATTGGTATCATTTGTATAAAGATTTAATCAATAAACATTTTGCAATGGCATCAATTTTAGCTGCACAATTAGATGAATTGATGGGAAGGGACAGAAATCTTGCTCCTAATGAGAAAAGCAAAAAAACTCATTGGAGCGATGATTTGGTATTATAAACTATTTTTAATTAACTCTATTTTTTATATAGGTTTGCAAGCATTATTTAGTTGAGTTTTGTCCTTACGAGGTTTTTCTAAATACGAAATTTGACATAGGTATTATAATTTTTATATTTATATAATTTGTTAATTATACCAAAGGATATTGTGAAAAAGTACATGATGATACACTAAGGCAAAGGTATGTCACAATATTGATAAAAAAATATTTTTTCTTTATATAACCTGGATAAAATATCTACAAATTAAATTATTGATGAAATATTATATCAATACTAAGTAATTTTTTATATTTTTATTTGAATAATAGATATAATTGAATAAGATAAGATTGTAGTTAAATTTCTAATAACTAATGGGTGTTGGTATCCCTTTGAGGTATATTGTTTTGTTTAAATTATATAAATATTTTTTCCTTGAACTTCAATTCAAATGTTATACAAAACATTTATTATATAGAGTGAAGAGGGGGACTCATTATATATAATTATATACTCTTTATGTTCTTTCATAACAAGTTTATTTACATGATATACTATTATATATATATGCATTTAGATATTATCTTACTCTCTTAACAACGTTTTGATTTAGTTTATTAATTATTTTTGCTTTATTAAATAATGTTTAAAAAATAATTTGATTATTAATTGATTAATAATTCCCTTGGCTTCCATTTTAGATATAAAGAAAGTTCCAAATTTAAAAAGATGGGATATGAGGAGGATTTTTTGAGATTTCTAGAAAATGCCATTGGGGAAGTGGATAGGAAAATCAAAAGAGGCCATGCTCGACTAGCTGTCAATGATTCCCAGAATAATATCAAAGTAATTACATTTTAATTTCTATGATAAAAAATAATATATATACATTATATTTGAGAGAATGATATATTCTTAATATTATATATAAACTTTTATCTTGAAGAATATATTTTATTAAAACTAAAATAAAAAATAGATATTTCATACAGGGTTGATAACCCAGAATTTTAAGGAAATAAACTGCTTGATTAAGAGCATTTTGCCCTCTATTGTTGAAGGTTAGGAAGTGTGCTTGGTATTCCTCATTTCCATCTAACTGTTTTAGATGTTAAAATATTTGAATAAAATAAATATAAGAAAAAAGGAGAGAAGAACACAGATATAATTTGAATAATTGAATTGTAAAGTTATTTTTATATAGTATGATAATTGTTTATATACCTGATATTCTAATCCGTGGTTATAAAAATAAAAATTTTGTCAAAATAAAGTGCACTTAATAAAGCAGTTTATTTTCATAAAATTAAACAAAATTACTAATAATGAATCTGATTCATTTTATTCAAATATTTTAACATCTACAACACCCCCTTCATTAATATTTTAAAATATTAACTATAATAAGGTAAGTTGGGTGAACAATTAAAAATGAGGAGCCTTATACACATTTGATAGCAATATGCAGAACTTGTATATAGTGTTGTTAAAAAGCCCGATTCGGGTCCATTTTTAAAAATGGCCAGATTAAGATTATAACCAAAATAATATTGTGTAAGCTTCATGATTTTGCTCATAGATAGTAGAAAGGTTTGGACTTCTACTTGCCAAATCTTGAGGCTTATACAATATTATTTTGGCTAAAATCTTAATCGGGCCGGTTTTTCAAAATCGACCCAAATTGGGTTTTTTAACAACACTACTTGTATACAGCAGTTTGAAAACTTATTTCAATTTCTATATGGTGAGATAAAAAGAGTTTAACAAAGAGAAAGCCTGTACTCTAGAATTTCACTTATATTTAATTATTTTATGTATTATGCTGATTTTAATTTTAAATGTATGTTAAATAAGGTAATTCTGATGTTAGTACTATGAATATAGGGTAATTCTATATCAAATCAATAGCTTTTAAGCCTGTCCTTTTTAATTTTGTTAAATTTCTTTACCCAAACCCAAGGACCACATCTAATTTTTATCATAGGATAACCATAATTTGTAATAGGGGACTTGTAAAAGTCAAATTTTAATGTATGGCTTTGGTTTGTGTTTTGAAGCTCCTGGCTAGTATTATATTTAAAAAATATCATATCAGCATTTGGTTAGAACTTTAAGTTTTAAAAGATCATTTAGTATAATTTTTTTTAAATACACATAAAAAACCTCCCCAGATTCAACAAGTAACAAAAGAAAATGAGGAAAAAATTATCGTGCTTCAAAAACAGATTGATGAATTGTTGGTCAAGGTAAAATTTACTATTTAAGATATGTCATATTTCTTTATTTGAGTAAATATAACTTGAAATTTGCCAAAAAATTATCATAAATTTTTAAACATTGTTCACACCACACTATTTGGCGACACTTATCATTAGGGGGGGGGCATGAGATCATTTTTGAAGCCCATTGATGATTCTAGTTATAAATGATAAAGTTGTCTTGGTCTAACTTTAAAAAAATATATTAGTCTATTCATGCCTCAAGGCTTAGCAGATTTGTTAATCTGTTTTGCTAAATTTAAATATATATTATTTTAGAACAATTAATCTCTTATTTTTTTTAGTAATACTTAGATCTGTGCACTAACTGAACTATTGGTGGCCAGCGGTGTGCTGATTTTTAACCACTGTCAACAAGGTGGCACATCGGTGCACTGTTATATATTTTTAGAAAAATTAAATTAAATCTACATTATAGATATCTAGGCATATTTTTTGATCTTTATTTAAAGGGAAAACTCATAAATTCAAAAATCGATTTTATAATTATCTTGTATAAAAATAATTTTATTCAAATTCCTTACATAATGATGATCTTGAATTCAACGTCAATCTAGTGGTAGAGAAAACATTTTCACTAAGTTTGCTAATTGTTGGAATAAAAATATTTTTTTAGCCATCATGGCAAGATTAGGAAGTTCGATACTTTTTCTCTAGAGATTTAGAACATCCATATCTTGTGAAAAGGCACTTTTATTCTTAATCACTATACAAATTCTGGTTTGTGATCAGCAAGTTTAATTAATTTTTTTATTTCAAAAAGTGAAAATTGTACCAAAGTATTTAGTAGAACAAAATTACTCAACGTCGGAATTTATTATAAAACATTTTAAACATATAGAATATGATGACATCGGTGTAGTAAAATATAGCAATTGAAAATCGAGAGGAAATATTAAATTTAAATTACTTAAAATTAGCAACTAAACAAGTTCAAATCAGGAAATTTTTCTTTAGGGAAATATTTCTGGGCTATCATTATTATTAAATTTGATTCAATTTCACTTTAAAAGTGATGCCATGTTTAAGGTATGCCTTTTTATGCTTATAGAAATTTGATTTTTATTTAAGTTTTGACAGAAAAGCTAAAATTTTATCTACTAGATCTGATTGATTGTTTGAGATAGTGTTTCCCAAATCTTTTCAAAACGTTATTGAATTTTTATTTTCTCCAGATATGCATTTAAGCATATGCCACCTGGTTGGAACATTTCATTTTAACGTTTTATATGTGTGGCATTATTGTTATTATCATCATTGGAATCAGCAATTTGAAGACTGGTATCAGGGTAATCAATATCTAACATATCTGATGTTAGATCTATTGTACTTGGCATTTCCTTTGATCTGCCTCGAACTCAAATTCAATCTGCAGTTTTATATCTTATAGCAGTAATAATTTCTTATATTCTGTTGATCAGATTTTCAACAAAAGGTATTTAATACCATACAGGATAACCAGATTAGATTATGTAAACCATAACCTAAGTATTAGTGGTGTCTCTATTCACCTAATCAAATACCTTTTCTAACATTGGGTCTCCATTTTAAAAATATATAAAATATGGTTTATAATTTTAGATTTTGATTGATTGAATTCTAAAATGATGTTAATATGGGTTCATAGGAAATTTACAATAGTGATGTTGACCAATTTATTAGAATAGAAATTATTTAGGAAAATATTTTGCACTGGCCATGCACAGCTAATGGCGTTATTTTCATAAATGGCACATACAGATCTAGTATACTAATAATCATATATTTTAAAGAGAAGGTGGGCTTATGTATGATAGTAAGTTTAATAGAATGCTCAGATGAAGTATGTACAAAATATTAAAGACCTGTCTAGTTCAATTGCAAAAATATTTTTTTATGCTTAACCTTTTTTGTCTAGTAAATTCCTTAATAATTAATATTACCTTAATGGTTTATATTTTTTTGAAGCACTATTTTGAGGATGAACAATATGTCGTTTGGGCATATTGTTCTATATTACTCAAGGATTTATCCCATTTGAAATAAAGAAAAAAGTTTGCTTGCTTCTTGAGGTTGAGGTTTAACAAAACTATTTTTTTTATTGAAACCAGTCCTATATAATCCTATTTTATTGGATATTCCTTATAAACTGAATAATAGGTTTGGTCCTAAATTTGAAATCGGTGCATTTACCTCTATTTTAGGTCAGATATTTCTCAGGGGTATTATTAGACCACTGGTCAAAATAATTTTTATAATTCCCTATAAATGAAAAATATATAATGTATCTTTCTTTAGAGTGAAGGCTTAGCCGAGGAAGGTAACGTTGAAGAGGCCCAAGACACCATAAAAGAGGTCGAAAAGCTAAATTTCGAACGTGATAAATTCAAAATAGTAAATTATTTTTCTTATTAATATCTCCCCTTTCTCTTTTAACGCTATTAATGTCCCTTTTAAAGTTAATTAGCTTGTATTGATTGTTTATTTTTTTAAAATATTATTTTGAAAAAATTATATATTTTACCTTATAAATGGATCGTAAGGCTATATCGTATTTAGACTATTCATAAACGAATCAAATATTTCGACAAATTTTTTTAAATGGTTCGTTTTATTTCGAATTAGTTTTTTTTAATATAAATTAATCGTGAGTCATTTTTTTCATTGATAATCTATCAATCTTACAGATGTTATAATTAACAAGGTATAAACTGCTTATGAAAGGCTTTTCTGGGTTGGAACTAATTTGCTGTCAAAAATATTACATGTCTTATATTTAAAAAAAACAACAAGAATAGTGTTGTTAAACGGCAAACTTATTTTGCCCAGAATAATATTTCCTAAGTCTCGAGATTTCGCTAATAGATGCCCAAACCTTTGTCCCGTCTATGGGAAAAATCTTCAGGTTTACATGATATTTTTTTGGATAAATCATTGAATCAGCCATGGTACAACACTAAACAAGAAAAACTCTGTAAAAATGGAAATTGGCATTATAAATTAAATTAATATGCAATTTAATTTTGTTAATAACTTGATCGCAATGATGTTCTTTATCATCAGATTTTTATAATAATTGTCGGTTGACATGCAATAAAAAACAAATTCTGTCCCATATATTTTATAATACTTATTTTTCGCTTACTTTCCACCACTTTTCTCTCATCCTCCAATATTTTCATGAAAATTAGGGATGTACCCATATTTTTTATCGGATTGGATCGGGCCGATATTTCATCTTTTTTAAAATATCGGTGTGGCTGATATTATAAAAATTTTCCTACCCGATAAAATGGCGTCTTATTTAAAAAAAATTTGTATATGTTATAAAATTTAAAAATAAGTTATATCTAAAAAAACAATATATTTTTATAAATGTGATCAAAAATTATTTTAAATATTTATTTCAAATTTCATAATATATTTATTTCAAATTTCATAATATATTTATATTAATTTTATTATATAAATAAATTATTCATTAATAATAACTGATCTTATTAATAAATGATTTATGTTGTGGTATAATTTAATTATAGATTATATACTATTAAAAAAAATATGAGACGAGTTAGGTATATGCATTAAAAATTAAAACGATTAGTATGTTTACAGAATACAAAATCAGATATCATATCGGATCGGCAATTAGCTGATATCAATTTAATATCAGATTGACCTCCAAATGGTGGTATCAGTACACCCCTAAAAATTCGATCATTGGGCAGGAGGATAACCACCTATTCTTAAATATTTTACACTTAAAAATTTGACATAAAAAAAAGGAAATCGACAATGCCAAAGCCATGGAACGTCACATGCGTGTTTGCGAAATCTGTGGCGCTTTTCTCATAATCAATGACGCTCCCTCACGTGTGGATGACCATAACAGTGGAAAACAGCACACCGGGTTCGTCAAGGTCAGAGAAGCGGCTCTAAGGATGAGGGTTAGTTAGCTTTATTTTATAGAATTCATGAAAAAAAGAGGTGAAAGATACCCCCCTCCAACCAAAATATTGCTATTTGAATACTTAAAAAATTTACTTCTAATAAGTTTTTAATGCGCCAAGTTTATTTTTAAATGTGGGAGGTAGGGCCGTTAATTTATCCTATATTAAATTATTATTCCAAAAAAGGAACAACTCTTTGGCAAAGACTCCAAACCTAGAGGCATTGACGATAACATTCAAAATGGAAATACTGGTCCCAGCCCTGTTTTGGTAAATGATATCAAAGAAAATGAAACTGTGAAAAAAAGATCAAGGTATTAAAATGCGTCATATAAATTTTTTCTGAGTATAGTTGTAGCTGGTTTATTTTCAACCAGAATTCTGGGTTTTGGTTCACAAAAGTAAAAAAATGTTTTTGTAGCAATTTGTATAGTGACAATTTTCCTTTATGGTTCAGAACCGGCCTACCCTGGGTTTGAGTGGTTATTAACTAATTGGTTCCTGTTTGTTCCACTTTCATAAAATATCCAAGATAACAGTATTAAACATTTGAGCTAGAAAAGAACTCCAGTTTAACCCACTAAAGAATGGCCTTTTAACTCAGTTTAAAATTTTTAAAAATTGAAGAACGCATAAATAAATTTGCTCAAGCTCTTTGCCGGATTTTTTTAAGTATTCTAAATTAGCTTTTACTATCTACTATACTTTCCAAATGAATACTATAAAATATTGTTATCCATTTTTCGTTTACATTATTATTTATAAATTAAAAGGAGAAAACAAATTTCATATTTGGGTTTTTGAGCAATATTATAGTAAAATATAAAATAAGGTCAAGTAAATGATAAAATTATGAACAAAAACAAATACTTTATTTAAATGTTCACAATTCTTTGCCAAGTTAGAGAAATAAGTATTAGTTTATCCCATAATAAAATTGAAAAAAAGAATCATTAAAATATATAATAATGATTTAAAATTCTAATTTAAATGAGTGTTTGATCTTAGAGAGTCATATAGTACTATTTAGTTTCCCCAATCACCTGCCCCCTCCTAAAATAAACTAGCCTTTTCACAGCCTGTCATGCTTAATATGGCCTTAATGGTTTCATAGTTATCATTTGCGGTGGAAAAACAAGTAAAATATTTCGGGGAAAGAGCTGTCTAGATTTGAAATTTTGTTATGTATCTTATATCTAAATTGGTACTGTAATACCCTTCGATTATTTTTTTAACTGTTCTGGATGCCATCAGAAAATAATGTTGATAAAGTAAACATTTCGTTTTCTCGCGTTTTCTTTTAGATCTAAGAGCAAACACGAATCCGAACGTCACAAAAGTCACAAAAGTAGCCACAAAAAATCTTCCAGCAAATCATCCCATTCCTCTTCTAGAAAAGAAAGGCCTCACGGGTCGTCGCGTGATGAAAAGAGGGAACATGGCAGGCATGGCCACACGCAAGGGGAAAGCAGACGAAGATGAAACATTTAGAAATACGTTGATATCAATTTTTATACGATCACCTTGGATTATAGTTACTTCTTTTTAAAAATTTGAAGATGGATAATATTTCATGAGATGTATATTATATAACTAACGATATATTTAATATAGGATAATGAATTATGATATGCATTCGTTTTTTATAATTAATATATCTTAATAAAAAATAATTGTATATACCATAAATTCTTATGTACATAATCACTTTCATTTATAGAAAAGTTTGATAAAATTTTTAGATTGTTGACCACACATTTAAAAAAATAATCACGCTTGTAAACCTTTGCAGGACAAAGTATAATGGGTCTTTTGTTCTAGTTTGTTTTTGATCATATTTTTCCCACTCTATTTTTTGTAGATTAATAGTGTGGTTTAGAAGAATTAGAAATGGGAGTAAGATTCTTTATCTGGAATGAAACTTCGATAGGTTAGGGTATTCTGAAAAAAATGAATAAAAGCTTTTGTTATGGAGATTCCTATAAATTATTATAAAAGTATCAGAGACCTGCAGAGGTACCATTTGCACGGCCCGGCCCTTAAAAGATTTTCAGACTGGCCCAGCCTAGCCTGGATTTTTTTTTTCAAAAATTTTTTATGGCCCAGCCTGGACTGGATTTTTTTTAAAAAAAATTTTTTAGGCCTGGCTCGAAATTTTTTAAAATTATATTCGACCTATATATTAAAAATTTATCTATTTGGTATTTTATCATATTTTTCGGCGAGTATTATCATTTAATAAGTAAGCATATTAGCTAATGTTGTTAAACGGCGCGTTCTGAGCCGATTTTTAAAAACGACTCAATATTTTTGACAAAAAATATTGACTAAGCCTCGAAATTTCGATACTATACGTCTAGATCTTTGCTCCTTCTATAAGCAAAATTTTCAGGCTTGCATAATATTTTTCCGGATAAAAAACAGACTTAGCCGTTTTTAAAAATCGGCTCAAAACGAGCTGTTAAACACTACATATTTTTTTTGTTCTAAACAGACATTTAGTATATTACAAATTGATACTATAAAAAATTTGTGTAAATAATATTTTGAGAATATACTATATTAATTGTATTTATAAAAAAAATAAAACTGATATTTTAATTAATAAATAATATGACATATTATATAATAATGTATTCAATCCTTTGAGTATTTATTCCATGGCAGGAAAACTATAATTATAATATGTAATAGATACTATGAGTGTTAGTTAATGTTAACTTTCACCAAACATTATATTAATCATAACTATATATAATCATTATAACTATATCTAATTGACGAATATAATAAATAATATTGTATAAATTTTTAAAAAAATACGGCCCAGCCTGGGTATTTAAAAAAAAATTTTCCAGGCCTGGCCCAGCTTGTGTATATTTTAAAATTGCCTGGCCTGGCCCTTATATATTTTAAAAATGCCAGGCCCTGGTACCCGGGCTGGGATTAGAGCTCGGACTGCAGGTCTTTGAAAAGTATCTTTTTCTACTTAGATGTAAAACCTGGGAGTAATAAGTAATCATTCTACACTGAGCTGACAGACAAGAGTAGTTATTACAATAGAATTTTTTGAATCACCCACAGGTTGACTTAAATTGACAAATAAGATTGTAAATCATCAAATTTTTTCGTCCCGACCCTTGGGAAGAAATTTATTTCAAATCCTATTGATAAAATTAATTTCCGACCTGAAAATCAAAATATAAAAAAAGATATCCTAAAATTTATTTATTTTAGTAAAGTTATAACTTATAAGAAATAATTTAAAATGAACAAAATTGTGAAATAATGTACAATCAAACCATGATTTATTGATACCAAATTGCAACAAAATTATTTCCAAACTTGACATAATTTAAAAAAAATAATCGGCCTGTTTATTTTTGAATTATGATTAAATATATTGAATTAGATATCGAGTATTGTTAAACACCTCAGTTCCGATTTTTTTTAAAAAACGTTAAATTGAGTTTCAAGCAAACAAATATTATCTAAGCCTCGAGATTTGACTCAACCTTTCTGCCATCTTTTGACAACATCTCTAGGCTGAGGTAGTATTTGCAATTTTTTTTGTAAAACATACAAATTTTATTCATTTATTAATAAGATCTAATTGATAAACTATCCCTAATACTTATATTAAACAGAAATTTATAAACTATAGCATAAAAATGGTGGCGGGTTTAACAAAATTCAAATGTTATCTACGAAACAACTGATTAAAATATAACCTTTTTTCATAAGTTAATTAGGGTTAATACTTTTTATTTTCAAATTAATAAAAATAAAATTTTCTAAAATGAACGAACGTAAAAAACAGACGCGTTCATCAAAAAAGAACATTCGACGCGTCGTTTACACCATTAATTTTCTCCATATAGTTTTGGAAAAATATTGAAAAAAAAAACAATTTTCTATGAAAATTATACACCTCCACTGTTTTCATAAATGCAAATCATTACTCGAATTTTCTTGTTTAAATGATAATGTGCATCTTTTAATTTATTTTAACTATATCCATTATAATTAGTTAGAAAAAGCAACATAATTTTGCTTTATTATAAAATTCACTTATTCTATGGATGTATTAGATAAAATAATATTATTTTTACTTCCAAAGTTTGCAAAGACACTTGGGATAGTCTAGGCAGCATCTAAATCACAAAAAATAAGGCAACCTGCCTGAGATTAATCCCCCCCTACCCAGGCCCCTCATTCCTACAATATTTTTAACTTCTTACCTACCCTCGCCTCCTTAATAGATGGAGGCAGGTTACTTTACCCCCCCCCCCCTCCTGCCCCCTTCCCATAAATTCTGATTGGAGGGACATATAGTGAGAAGGGATTATTCTTGCGGGGATTTGAATGGGCCAGGGAGTGAAGGAATTAATTGGGGATTTAGCTTCTGCATGTGAATCCTGAAGGGGGAGAAGATTCTAAATTTGATGATGGTTGTAATTCACCGTTTAAGATGATGGTGACTGACAAATCGGGTAGTGCAAAACTAGTGGTTTATTTGTTGATGAGATGTGATAAGAGTATAATGAAAAATGTGAAAATAATACAGGGCAAGTGTACTGGACAGCACCATATGATGTTGATCTTATTTTAAAAGGTGTGAGCATGACTAATTAAAAGTTTGTGCCAAAGCTGAAGGTTTTGAAATTAACGGAATGCTAGACATAAAATTAAATAAACATTGGCGACCAAATGGTCTAAGGTTGTGCTACCAAAAAAGCAACTGGTGAATGGAAAAAAGGATTATACATATTAAAGAGACATCGTAACTAAGGTGTGAACGAGGAACAGGTGTTACAAAAAATGATGTGATAAAGATACAAGGAAAACAAACTTAATAAAGAACAAAAGACCTGGAGTACATCGACGAATAAATGTATTCCGAACTGTAAAGGATATGATGAAAAAGATACAGGGTGTGGTGGATGTAAGGTATCCACATATGGAAGGGAAAATGGTAACGGAAGATGAAAAAAATGGGTTTAACATGGTCATGACTATCCCTTTCACACATAAAAAGATATAGCAAATGCTTTGCCCATTTTTATCAATATATACATAATGGTAGACTAATGTCCCAACGATTATTTTTTTCTAAAAGCACAGTAATTTTTAAAACGCACTTTGGCTTTATTACAAAAATTAATTTATATTTTAATACTATAATAAAAAAGAAAATTATTTACCCTTTCTTAAGCCATCTAGGCCAGTTGTTAATTTATATTTTTTAAAGGACCAATCCTAAAAACCTGATCCTAGGCTTTTAAGTACAACTACGACGTTCAAACAAGACAATTTATTTTTTTGTAAATTTCGTGAAAAAAAATATTTAATTTATAGAAAAAATAAAATTCTTTTTAATTAAAATAATAGTATAAAAATAAATCGAAATTCATTTTTTGTTCAAATGTTAAATATAAAAAAGTTTTGTATATAAATTGGCGACAGATAATCGAATACTAAATTTTGATATAAAATATGGCGCGTTTTATTAAATATGGCGGGACTTTTTTTAAAATAAAACAATAACCGAATGTTGAAAAAGCTTTTGCAAAAAATAATTAATTGTTATAAAATAAGAACGAAAAATTTTTTATAATACATTTTTCGTGTTAAAATATTAATTAATTATCAATACAATATAGTGTAGTAGTACACTTTTAAAGAAAAAATTATTTTCAAAAAAAAATATGCCAAATAAACGCTTAATATAAAAAGTGGAGAATATTTTTTTAAACTATATAAATATTACTAAAAATTTTTATTTTTTCCTAGGGGATTTATTTGATTCCAAAACCCTAACATAAAAATGGTTTTATTTAGCTATTCATGAATACAATCTTTATTTTTGACAAAAACATTCGAAATCAGTGCTCTTTAAAGGCATAAATAAATAAACTCAAATTTAACGTAATACTTTCTTTATACATAATAAATGATGTTCTAGTAAAATTTTTGGTTCCCGATAAAAAATCTTGAGATAAAAAAACTAAATAAAAGCTTGATGTTTTGATATTTATGATATTATAAACGACTTATAAACCGTTTTTTGCACTTTTGAAAGATAAAATATAGTCAAGAGGAAAAAAAGGAAAACTTTTTATCAAACTAAACATAACCTATAATAAATTATAAATGATATCATTTATATTTTTTATCTTCATTTAAAAGAGAAGAAAAAAAAGGATGTTTGAATTTAGCAACTTAATTTATAAATATATTTTAATATGATAGTATACAATATATTGGGTATAAACACAATTCCCCTCCCCCCAATTTGCAGGTCAATTTGATTTTGCGATTTAGACGATATTTATAAGTAAAAGCGATATAGCTCGCCGCAGCATAAACGATATTTCGCCACAACCGCCTTTTACTTGTAAACACCTTGCTGTGATCGTTTTTTCATTTTTTGAATCTCCGCGATTTCAATCACGTTTAATGTAACGCGATTTGCCGTTGGTATTCATACTATCACCAATAGTCTTGGTGGGATTCGGTGAGGATATCTTCGAGGGGGTCCTGTAATAGGCCCGGTAATAGAAATTGGCGAACAGCCCAATCAGGGAAGAGCAATAAACGATGGCTAAGTAATTATACTGGTAAGGGTAACTCTTGCAGTCCACGTACCTGTTCACTAAACTGTGGATTAGGATGGCTCCTAATTGGACCTGTTTATTTTGGGTAATAAATTGCGATAATATAAGAAGATCGTAATATTTTTAATAAATTGTTTTTTTTTGAGGGGGGGGGCTTCCATTCTACCTCGTATATTCAATATTCATAGATTCCCCTAAATGTCTTAATAATAAATCGTATTCTATATTTATCGGTAAATTCTGATTACTATGTAAAAATTCAATTATAAAATATATAGGATTGTGTGGATTTAGACATGAAACTCATCTCACCTTTTTAAATGTTTAAGAAAAAATCTTATTAAATAGAACAATTTGGAATATATAGATCATATAATTCCTATTTTCGGATCAAATAACAGTATTAGTTAGTGTGATATTTAAGATGATTTATCGGTTTTATATGGCTAAGCCAGATAGACTTAATATCATTAGTATGGTATATAAAGTTTTCTGTAAAAAAAAAGTTGGAGGTCGCAAAAACTTATAAACAGCTTCCTACTTTCCTAGAAAGTTGTGTGCCTGATTTGTATTTTTTATGATGGTCAATCACGTTGATAGAAAATATTAATTAATATATTTTTATCAGTCTTGTTAAGGAGCGTCGCTACAGGACTCAAAAAAAGCTGGAGCGCCCCTCCTTTTTAAAAATGAGGAGCGGGAGCGGGAGTAGCTCCTTTTAGGGCTGGAGCGGAGGAGCGGCGCTCCTCCGCTCTTTTAAATTTAATATATAAATTATATTATTTTTTAAATATTAATAATATTTGTTAATTAAAATTTAATGAAAATAAAATTTTATTTTATTTAAATTTATTCATTATTAAATGTTGAGCCGAGTTTTATATTGATTTTTCATCTAATCATTTGAAACATTAAACATCAGTTTTTCCTTTTTATATTGAAATTTTTTTGAAAAATCTTGTAAGTCATATTAATATTCATTTTATAGATATATAAATTGGGAATGGATAAAAGATCCAAAAAATATGGAACTAAAAGCCAGATTAATTAATTTTTTAAGGAAACAAATACCCGACGGAAAAATAGCTACAACTAGTTCACGGGAACTTTGTAATGATTTGGAAGATTTCTTTGGATTCCATTAAATCGATTACCATGAAAATAATATATTGGATAGATATTTTTTAAATAATGATAGCAAAATTACTATTTTTGAACATTTCCATGAATTAAAAAATATTTATATTAAATACAATACCCCGCTTCCCTCTAGTGCTCCTGTGGAGCGCCTATTTAGTATCGCAAAACAGGTCTTAGAGGAGAAGCGTGGGTGTTTGTTAGATTCTAATTTAGAAAATTTATTACTTTTAAAAGCTAATAAAAGATTATAAATATTTTGATATATCATATAATATAAATAAAACGTTTTGATGAAAAAAATATGATTTTGTTTCGTGTACCTTCTAAAAAAATGAAAATCAAAGGAGCGGTTATGGAGCGCCACTCCATTAGTTGGAGCGGGAGCGCTCCTTTTAATATGTAGTAGCGGGAGCGGGAGTTCGCTCCTTTTGAGAAGGTAGGAGCAGGAGCGGGAGTCGCTACTTTTAAAAAGGAGCGTTAACAAGACTGATTTTTATTTTTAATGGGAAATTTTATATATTTAAAATAATATACATTTCATCGTTAAATATAAATAAATAATTTGTTTGAACTCGGAAAAAAAATTAAGATAAGATAGTATATTAATGGATTTCGTAATATTAATATTTACAATTAACGGGTGTCAAAGAGTTGGCTGGTATCATGATAATTAAAATAAAATTCCATTAGACAGGGTATAACCATTGGAAAAAAGAGTGAAATATAAACAAGAAAATATGCAAAAAGGTATGGGATCAAAATCGGAAGAGACATTCAATGAATTATAGGAAAGATTATATCCACTATTGGAATGAAGAATGTTCGAAGGATCATTTTATGTTAAGCCCATACCGTTATTTGACAGCAAATAGGAAGTAGAAACCTGATCCATTTCTTTTATAAGCCTTTAAAAGGTCGGAACAGAATGACTTTACTTAATTCAAAAAAATTGCCAATATCTCAACCTCGGTATCGTTAAACATTCCTAAATCCACACCATCTATAATTGCAGAATTGATTCTTTACTTATCTGATAAAATACTCAAATTTCCGGGGTAAATGATATGAACACGATTGATCACTAGAGGTTTTTTCAAAATTAAAACATAATATCTTTTTCGCATAACGTTTCTGATTGATGGTTGACATAATATCGCGGGAGAATATCATTATCCCGAGAAATTTATTAGTTGAGTCTTGCAATTATAAGAAGGTTAAAAAAAATTCTTCTTAGAGAATATTAAGTGCCTATTCATTTTTATTAATATTATTCTCTATTGGATTGCTTAAAAAATGTCCCAAAATAAATTTAAAAGAAATTAATAAATACGAAGTTTCAAATTAAAATAACTGGAGTAATATACCTCGAAAAATATGAATCAAATTGATATTTGCATTATTCGCGGCTAACTCAATATTTTACCCAGAAAAATATTAGGTAAGCATGGATATCGATTAGTAAAATCTCGAGGCTAAGACAATAACTTTTCTGGATAAAATATTGGGTTAGCGGGCCGTTTAACAACACTAATTCGTATAGGTACGAATCCTATAATTCTACATTCATATTCAAATCAAAATAATAAAAACATTATTCGATTTGATTCGTTTGAATATTCGATTCAACAAATTAAATTCATTTAAAATGTTTTCAAAAATGGATTAATAAAATTTAAGAAAGTGACTTATATATGTGATAAAAAGCTTAAAAAATGAAAAGTTCCACGTCAATATATCCAATCTATAAAAAAACTAATTTATAAGAGAACGCCATCTAATTTTTTAAAAAAATCAACTAAACACACCCAATTTTAAAAATCGTATTTTTTTTTTCGAAATAAAAATCAATTGACATTTTTGACCAGATATTAATATCAGAAAATAGGAAAATTTTTTTCAAGATTAAAATGGTCGGCTTATTTTTATATAATACGAATCGGATCGATGTATGAAAATCGGTGAATCTTATAATGAATAATTTGAATCTTTTTTTTACAAGTTGAGCTATGGTCAGGTAAGGTTTCCACCAAAGGTATTTGTGCATATGCGGTCCCAAGGCGGAGAGCGCGTAATATCCGTACATGAATATATGGATAAGTGAATTCAGGATGCCTACAATGAAGCCTAGTTATTTTTGTATCAGTTATAAAATTATGATTAAAACGTGATATTATTTGTTAAAAATAAATAGTTACTATTTACATTCGTTAAAGTTCAATAAAATTTAGACAATTTACTAGTCAAAATTATATTTTTATACGAAAAAACAAATCCAAAGTTATATTAAATTTAATTTTTTTCTTCTTATTTATATAATTTAACTTTTATTAATTCTTTCTATTTCATTTAAATAACTTCATATTTTAATAATTTTCATACAAATTCTTTCCCGCAAATTGAGAAAAAGACAAATCAAAAGTTATTATAATCTTAATAATTTATTAAAATTATAATTCCTCACCAGTCCCAGAAACCGTTTTCCTTAATTTTAAAAAATGGGTTAATCTGATTCCCAGGTTTGTCCCGGGTAAAGAGGGTTTCAGGTTATGGTTGTAAAAAACCATTCTCTAAAAAAAATCTAGCCTGTTCAGATGCTCAAGAGGAGAGCCGGAAGAATCTAATCTTGTGGCCCGGAAAGACCGATCTATTTTTATTTTCAAGACGAGAAATCTAAAGTTAGAAAGAACCCTACAATATTCTCAAGGAACATCCTCCTCTGGGAATCGACTATAACTTAAAATTAAAGTGAAATCATATCGTCGACTGAGTATTATTAGTGTTTCTATACCCATTTTTTTTTCTTCAAAATTTATCGGGAGAGCATTTAAAAAAAATAAATAAATGTTTCTTGTATTTAAGACAGGAAAATCAGACCAAAATAATGCAAATTAGGGATGAATGGATATTTTTTATCCGATCGGACCGATATTTCATCCATTTTAAAATATCGGTTATCGGCCAATATTATAAAATTTTAGGATCCGATCCGATATAAAATGGCGTCTTTAACAAAAATAAAATGTTATAAAATTTAAAAAAAAGTTATATCTAAAATCATTTATTTTTATCAATAAAATCGAAATCCATTTTTTATGTATATCTTTTTAATAATAATAATTAATAAACATTCTGCCATATTGTTATTTATTTACGCATTCTGTTTATAAAAGTGTGCGATAATCTCTTCAGAATCAGTTTTTAGTGAAGCTGGTGATATTGACAGTTACCATCTTCGCACTGCATTCTGATAAATTGGAAATTTTGGTATTTCTAAAAAGAAATCTTCGATATATTAATGTTAATTTATTTCAAATTTCATATATTTGTTTACTTATAATGTATATAGATTAATATATTACTTATATAAAAGTGATTTAACAATAAAAATATTTTATACACGTATAGAATTGCAATTGAATATAAACTATATCTGATCATTATAATATTTTTAAATGACATAAGTTATGGTATAGTTAAATTATAGAAGTATAAAGTATATTAAAAATTAAAACCATTGGTATCTTTATTGAATACAAAATTAGATATTCGGATCGGTAATCGGCCGATATCAATTTAACATTAGAAATATAAAATCGGCCTCCAAAAAGTGGTATCGACACACCCCAATGAATAATAAATTATATTTTAACATTTTTTTATTGGTCATCTGGAATAAAATACATTACTTATTCAAGGAATGGATTTATCTAAAAAATGGATATATAACACATAAGGGGGATTGTCGATTTGGAATAAACACTGTGGAACGTAGCTTTACCGCTCCTGAAACGCTCATTTAAAAAAGTATTTTTTGATTGATATTGCTCAGTAATATTGCATACTGCAAAAAAGACACTGATAAGTTGAAAAAAAGGATATTATGCGACATATATAATTGTTTTCTAAAAAAATGTATATAAAAATAGATTAGCTTTACAATTGCCTCCGGCGTAATATTTGACGCACAACCACATTAGGATGGGCATGGTACTGTGATGGTACACGTGAAGGAATGATACTTGCCCGAACTTTTTGCGTAGGATAAAGAACATCTGGAGTTTCAAATATGGGATAAAATATTATGAATTGAGACTGTAACTTTAAATTTAAAAAAAAAATGGAAGGAACGGAGAAAAAAAAATAGATGAGAATATTTGAGATTCGCTTCCTTAATTTGACCCTTAAATTTATGTTTTTTATTTTATTTTATGCCCAAAAAACGTCTGTAAACTTTAGAAGAATTTTTTTTTTTTAAAATATATATTCCTTTACTTTTAATTTTTCGTTATATTATAAAAAATATATTATTTAAAATTATGATCACTTAATTATAACAATATATTTTTTTCCTTGGTAATCGGCAAAAAAATGTCACCCGAAACAAAAATACCTCAATTTTAATTTAAAAAAAATAATATTTAAAATGCTAATGATAAACTATTAAAGTTAATTGTGATCCCAAAAAGGAACCATCTAAATTTTGGCAAAAATTTTTTTTAGGGGGCCTTATAAAGTGCTCAATTTTGTGGCCAAGGGTTTTTAAAAAATATAAAGGTAATTGATGAGATATGGTCATTGTTGAATGATCAAGATTCTTAATTTATTTTTATTTCGGTTAAATAAGATTAGAGTTGATATTTGATAAACTCGTATATAAAAGATTTTATTGAATCCCAGGGAACTGTAGCTAGGTCATCTTGTCTTAGGCCGTCCTCAGGTTGGGTGGTTCTAAGCGATTTGCTATTAAAGCTCCATTTATTAAAATGGAAAACAACTAAGTGACGTTGCCGACTTCCCACTGTAAAGACAGTTGAAATCATGCCATCTGTAGGTCTACTTACATTTGACATAAGCATGAGTTGAACAATACCACAACCTAACCTTAAACCAATGACGACTCTTAATTGTGACCTGATAAGAAATTACTAAAGTTACTACTAGGTAGTTGCTGTTTGAAAGTAACTGAAAGGTGTCAATAGATTTTTGTGTTATTATATGAGAAAATGGGGGACATTAGCTTTCCAGATGTTAATACTTCATCCAATAGTGGATCAGAAGGGAATATGAACCCTAATATCATTGAATTGTTAAAAGAAAAGAAGTAGAAACCACCGGTTTTTGAAGGCTAATGTATGATAAAAATTTTATCGAGGAAAGTTTTGAATCTGTTTATCCAATTTTCTTATGAAGAAATTCAAAAAATTTGCATCTATATGATGTACGGGTAAATAAGACAACCCGTTTTCCATGCCTTGAATTATTGAGGAATTCTTCGCATGACATCTTATCATCTAAAAGAGAGTTGAGTAGATTAATTTATTGGTTGATATTATTTAGAAAATTGATAGATATTATATTTGTCAGAAATATCCAAATTCAACTTTTTCTTGGCCCAAAATTGTGATTAACCTTTCAGCCCGCCATATATTCTATTTTTTTAAATATAAATAAATTGAGGTATATTTTGTCCGGCAAATCCTATTTCTTGCGTTTTTTTAAAAAAATCAACTTTTACCCCCCCCCCCCCCCCACATAAGTAATAATTTGTCAATAAAATTCTTTAAAAAATAAATAAATTATATAATTTTTTTATTTGTACCGTGTCCAATAATTCCACAATTTTGGAGAAGTAATACCACCAAAAACACTCGGCAATCTGGTATACACAAATATAAAATGAATGAAATGAAATATACATTCGTTTGAATCAAGTCGAATAACCTAACAATGACAACCTTTTCTAATTAAAATATTTGAAAAATTATCTTAAAATAGGACATGTAATTAGGGTAACTAATCAAGATCTGCGTGGGAGGCAAAGAGGAAGAGGTAAAAAAGTTTTGTTCTTAAAAATAAAAATTTTTCGAAAAAAAAAATTCAGGAAAAAATGGTTTTGTCAAGTAAACTACTATGGCTACAACAAAATTCCTAGGTACAAATTTTATTGTATCTAGGTTGGCGATCATAAATAATTATTTTTTTTCATCCAAATTAAATCAACTTAATATGAGCATGAGCAAAGTAAACCTCAAATGTGTTTTAAAATCATATTCCAGAAAATATGGATTAATGGTAAGTCACTGATACTCGGAGAAACTTTTATTATAATATTTTAAGATTGTCTAGATATTGGTGGAATGGAAATTAACTTGAAAAAAATATTATATTTTAAGATTTGAAATAAATAAAAAAAATAATATTAAAAATTTCCCCGAGTTTCAGTTGAGTTACCGAATTAATTTATTAATATAAGCAATAAAAACATTTAAAAGAAACATAAATTAAGATTCCGCCAAGGGATATAAAAACAAAAAAAAAACTCGTAAAAATTCTTTATTTTATATCATGTTTTCTTCTTTTTTTTTTGAAAGAAAGAAATAATTTTTTTAAATTTATTTCTAAATTTAAGACCATAAGTATTGTTTAAATAATTACTTTCCTCAAGAATAAAATAATTATTTTGCAAAACAAAACTAATATATTTTATGTATAAAAAAAAATTGTCACTCTGAGAGAAAGCCAATTATTGCTCAAGTCCATATGTTGGCAAATCCAGCTGTACCTTTGCAAGATGGCGACGGCGGTAAACTAAATTTAAGGAGAGAAAAAAGAATATGTTATTAGCAATTATAACATATCAACATTTGTCAATCATAAAATCTTGCTGAAGAGATCAATAGTCTAATTTTATTGCATCGAAAACATCAAAATCGACAAAGAAATCTTAAATCACATCCTGCTTTTCCATAATCATAAAATGATTGACATCATATTGATGTTTGACTTTATTAATATATATTGTTATAAGATATTATATAAAATTATATATATAATATAAAAATAAGAAATTACAACAGTTTTTATATAATAAAAAAATTTAAGGAAGCCTCATGCAATTGGAACTATTGTCTATTTTTGGAATCGGAATTTTTAAATTAAAGTATTCTAAGATCTGTGATTGTTTTTTCCTCACCATTCCATTATCTTAAACATTCGTCCAAAAAAAGTTGGTCATAAAACTTAAAATAGTTCCAGTTCAAACCCGGTTTCGGATCGGATTTTTGAAATGTTATTGCCGATACAGTGAAACTTATTATTTTATAACTTTCTTTCCTATTTTCCTAGCCATATGGTCCCAACGCTGCTAGCAATTTGTGGATAAGTTATTGCGAGGCAAGTCAGGTAGAGTACTTATTACTTTTGATGACCTCCTGTTTACTCGGGTTCTATATTGGTAAGATTAAGGAGATGGGGATAGGGGAGGAAGGGTATTGGGTGAGGAAAAATCGCGTATTAAGATTTTATATTAAAAAATCGAGATGTTTATTAAAATAAGATCAAATTAAAAACACCATAAAAATTTTAATATAATTCAATTTACAATTTTATAATCGAGTTCCCAAGGGAACCAAAATTAGGTAAAAATTTCTATTTGAATTTTTTTGGAGCATATATAAAAATTCTCTAACTCCTTTTGTAAAAAGCCGTATTTTTTAAAAATTTATAAGTTAATGAATAAAAATGTCCATTTGTTGCCAATACCCATGATTGGTACCATCAGGCCAAGTCAGTGACCTCTACAATGGGAGGAAGGGGGGTATGAAGCAATTACTTCTTAAAATTTGAATCCCATCCATAACCAAAATATTTCATGACATAAGATTATTTTTCCAATTTAAAAAATATGCCCAAAAATAATTAACCAAAAAAAATACAAATGCTTAATTAATAATTGCACCCGACATAATACAGGCAATATTAGGAAAAGGCATGGTGGGCTAAATTTTAACTAATTTAAAAAAAGCTTTGAAATAGTACCTTTTAAAGACATGATTAAACTAATCGCATATTTGAAACCTATCCTCACATTGTATACTCAAAAAAATGAAGAAAAAAAAATGGATTAAAATTAAACATAAACATTCTAATTGCATTGGGTATGATTTCCAGATGTCGTCCAGTTCATACTTTCCGAATGGAAGAAGTTGGATATTCAAGTCTATTGTTTTATTTTCACTACCAATATTGGGAAGGGTTCTTATTCCATATAAATTTACTTTTATCCCAAAATCAAATCAACGCGAATAAATTAAATAATCGTTTATTATAAATCGAAACAATAAATTGAATAGAGATGGTCAACATTTTAATTTATTATATTGAGATAAATCAACTTTATTTTTATATAGATTGATTGATACTTTATTTGATACGCCTAAAGTATCACTTTGTATTAATCGAGATTGTTTTTAAATATAGATAAACTATTATGAAAAAATATAACAATTTTTCCTTCGATTTATAATAAAAGATTATTTGGTTTATTTTGATTTGATCTTGGGATTAAAAGTAAATTTATATGGAATAAGAAGACTTCCCAATAAATATTTTATGGCCAGTTGAAACATATCATGTTTGGACTGGGATAGAAAATCAACTTTCACACATCTAGTTTAAAAAACTATTATAGATACAGCTTTGATTCAAATTATATATTAACGATTGGACTACACATTCTAAATCGCTAAAAAATGGGAATAACGCTTATATTTCCTAGAAATTTTTAAAAGTAATATCGAAAATAATATTAATAGATTTTAGGAAGAACACTTGTATTTAAATTGAGTTTTTAAAAAATCGTTAAAAATGGAGGAAATATTATCATTGTTCCCATAATTAGGAACAACAATTGGGAATATTGATGCCTATTTGCCTCAGTTTTAGCCATTTTTTTTAAAAAAAAATCAATTTAAATATACAAATGTTTACTTCCATAGCATCTGCAAGCCTCAAAATTTCGTTAATAGATGTCCAAACCTTTCTGCCATCCATGAGCAAAATTTTCAGGTTCGCGTAATACTATTGGCTAAAATATTCGGTTAGCTGTTTTTAAAAATTAGTCGATATGTTCTGTAGCAAAATTATCTTCAATATCAATCTCTATCGTCGACATTTTAAATTATTTTGAAAACTAGGTTTATAATGCAGATTTTTTAAAAATAAATTTCAAAATTACATTAAATTAAAAAGATTTTGATTTTAGAATTAATTATAAATATATTTTAATAATTTTTATGTGTATTTATTATATAAAATTAGTAGTGGACTACCGCTAAAAATAGTGCATTAAAGCTATCGCTACTGAAAAAGTAGCGCGCCACTTTAACACTACCAGCTTCTTACTGGTTGTTTGCGATTTACCGGGATTCGAACATTGATCCTTCCGTTGTAAGAGCAGGTCATAATCGCTCGAACACATCTTATAATTACAATATTTACGATTTAATGTATAACTATATGGCTAATTACTGAGCACGTAGCATGTAGCAATAGCCTAAAATGGTTAGGATGGGAACATATAAAATTTGTTCCGCTAATGCTCTAACTATCTATATTTTCTAAAACGGATTTTTAAGTCATGAAAAAGTTAGAAACGCCATTGTTTTCTTTTTATCCATTCCTTAATTTTATTTCTTCCTTTATATTTTTAATATTTTTCCCATATTTTGATGCTGTTATACTAAATTAAGCGGAATCTGACCTAAAAATTTTAGGGCACGTAAGCCAGTCCCAAAAAGTCCGAGCCCGCCCCTACTTTTGAAAAACGGACCGAGTCTCGATTACCCGAAACATTCAAACCTAAAAAAAATATAATTTTTTTAAGTTACCTCGTAAAACATGTAAACGGACCAAATGACAAGCGTGAAATTGTAAATAATGATGGCCTTCCTTAGGTCTCCCGCGGGCTTCCGGTTGGCCATAAAACGCGGCCCGTATTTGACAACGAGTAGGTACAGAGCAACGACTAGCAAAGTAGGAAGGGGGGAGTGCACGAGAAACCAAGATTGGGTTCGGGGGTCTTAGGTTAAAAAATATATCAAGTTATTACTGATAAATGTGATAATAAAGGAAAGGGAGAAATACAAATTAAATATCTTTATCTGGTTGACAATACAGCTCTTATCGATGACATAATGATAACCACAGTAATGTACATAGACTGATTCACCCATTAAAATACGGTGTGAAGTGTCGTGTCGACGAATAAAAGTGATGAGACGACATTAGGGTTTCCGTTATGTGAATTTTTATAAATAAATGAAACCCTGATTTTCTTTTTTTTAAAAAAAAAAAAATTTAAATTTTTTAAATATTTACACTGGAAAGCAAAATGGCATATTACCAGATGATTTATACTGACAAACATTCAAATGAATAGTTTAGGTAAAATTATAATCATACGCTGTTGAGTTGAATGGGTGCATTTTTAATTGATTGCAAAAAATAGCCAAACTGAGCTTTTTTGCCCAAACAATATAATAATTAACAAACCGACTACGAATTCATTTAAATGCGTGTAAGGAATAAGACCGTTGGTTTCATAATATGTAAAAAATTAATACTTTAAATTTTATAAAAAACACATTAAAATCTGTTATACAGGAAACCAAAATGGCGTAATTATCTGATTAGTCACGTGTTCACTGGCGTTTCAAATGGATCTTCAGTCTAAGAAAATTTTATATGTCGTTGCCTCAGCCTCAATTCTATTTTTGAGGAAAAAAAATAGAAAAATACTTGGAGAAAGCGAGTAAAGCGGTGAAAAAAAATTTTTATCAATGCATGGGCTGATTTTTTTAGGAACGCGCCCATAAATCGAACCGAGTTACCCTTGCATTTACAGTTAGCGAGAATTCGCGGCAAAGTATACATATATACACACAGGGTTGCCAGGTCAAAATTTTCAAATTGTGGGAGAAATTCGGTATTTTGTGGGAGTAATATAAAAATTGTGGGAGAAATATGAAAATTGCTAAAAAATAATTATTTGCAGGCCTTCGGCCCGCAAAGACCCGGCCTGCGGCCGGGATTTAGAATTGACTTAGTTATCCGCTTATTATTTTTTATAAATATAAAATAGGTTTTCAAATAAAATAGCCAACTATTTTTCAAAATAAAATAGCCAACTATTTTTCAAAATGGGTAATTATAGTACGACACAAAATTTCTTAAATACTATCTTTATTATTAAAATAACATATTGATTTATTATAATATATTAATTTTGTTTAAAAATAATAACCAACGATCTTTTTTAAATACAAAAGAATGTAAACAAGATAAAATTTTATAAAAAAATTGTAATTTTACAATGTAAAAAAATATATTTTATGCTAATGTATAAATAAGATTTTATAAAAAAACAAACAATTTTAAATTTACAATGTAAAAAATAATTATAATCAGTGCGGGGAAGTTGTTCTACAGTATTTAGTTAATACAATGGGGGAAGGGAATATGATATTTTGAGGCATCAAAAATCTTCAAAGCATAAATCAGTACAGGGCAGTCTATCAACATCTATTGCAAAATTAAAATATTCTTCAAAAATAAGAAATAATACAGATGCAACTACAGTTGCGGAAATGGTAAATACCTATCATGCAGTACAACATTCAGAGAGCAACATCATAATGTTGGTAGAATCTTTCCCCATAATATTTAACGACTAATATAAATGAAAAGTATACTTTGTAGAACACAAATGAGCAAGTCATCAATGTTTTAGGATATAAATCCAGAAGGTTAATTCTTGACGATTTGAAAGATGTGCAAACATATGCAATTCTAACAGATGCATCTAATAAGGAGATATCAAAACATTTCCCTTGATCCTCCCCTATTTCAACAAAATTAATGTCATTTTAATAAAACTATTAAAAAAATTTCTCCAGATATGAAATATCCAAAGACATAGCTAACCATATATAATTGTAAATATGGCAGATTTAACATTACCAATGAATTGCATGGCAGCTTTCTGATCTGATAATTCCTCAGTGAATTTGGAAAAAACCAGAGTGTATTTACAGAATTGAGTCAGCATAATGTTGGTTGACAGGTTCCTCCTAATATGCGCCATCGTAGAATTTTAAAATTTTACAAACCTTTAAAAAATAAATAGATTATAAAAGCTGTCCTAATTTAAAAAAAATTTTCAAAAATAAATGGCAGAAGTATATTTAGGAATTTTACATATAGGAAATCTACTATATGCTGTTAATATGGAGTTGCAATCAGAAGAATATAATTTAATATTATTACTATTATCGGATAATTATTAATAAGATTTAATATGATGTCATGTTTGAGGAGATTTGCTTCTTTATTTTTATGATTTGCCAAAATATTCAAAATATTAATTTTACAATGTAAAAAATAAATTTATTTGATTTTATGCAAATGTATAAATAAGATTTTATAAAATATAGAAAGTCAAATAGTTATAGTTAATTATATTTTATTTAAGATTTAAATAATGGAACTAAACGTTTACCGTCGTTATTAAGATATTTATAAAATTCCTGGCATGACATTTTATAATTTTGTTTAACCATTAACTCGGCCTCTAATGTTGCTAAAGCTATTCGATTTCTCTCCTTTCTCCAGGCAGTCCTCATCAGGCTAAAAATGCGCTCCGATGAGGCATTAGAATGAGGTAAGGAGAAAACATACTCGCAAATTTTTTCCAAGCATGGGGATTTATCGTTATTACGAAAAAATTCCACCCATTTCTCCTCTGCTTTTAGACCATCTAACTTTAAGTATTCTGGCGAATCATAAAAAATGTAAAAAATTACAATCTCTTCAAACAAGGCTTCAATGTCTATCGGTAATTTTAATATATTTATTAAATTACAAAAACCATCAAATGATGGTTTCTATTCCAAGGTCATAATATTTATACACTTGTAAATAGAGTTATTAAAATCAAATCTTGATTGTAAATATTCCAAAATTGTCTTAATAAAAATATTTGCTTCATTTAAAAATACGTTAATTATAGTAATATTTGAACATTTTAATATGATATTTTTAGCAATAGCGCCATAAAATTTATTATCTATTTTTAACTGTAGAGATGAACAGAGCTAGCATGATTTTGTGAATCTTTATCAATAAAGAATCTTCTGATTGCAACTGAATATTAACTACATGAAGTAGATTTCCTACATGTGAAACTAATCCCAAATATGCTTCTGACATTTCATCCTCGAAAAATTTTTTCAAAATTTTAGGACAGCTTTTAAAATCTTTATTTAAGAAGTATTTCTTTAAGGGTTCGTAAAATTTTAAAATTCTCTCGATGGCAGGTATTAATGATAACCACATGATAGGTACATATCGCAACAACTCACACCATTCAAAATCAGACCACTCCACCAATTCTTTTAATTCAGTGACTCTTTTAGTTGATGAACTAAATTCGTTAAAACATTTCATCACAATTACTTCGACATCTACAGATAGTACATTCATTGCTTTCTTGCAAGAATTATGCAGTATATGGTATATACAGCCAATTGGTATTAATTCATTATTGTGCTGCCTCAATTCGGTAAATACACTTTGATTTGATTAGAATAATATCCACTTCTAAAAGTTCTATTCTTCTAACACAAAAATTTTAAAAATGTCGAGTGGAGTACTGCAATTCTAGATAACGATATAAAATATATTAAGTAATTTAAAATATATTTATAATAATTATACATACTGTTCTAACTTCTATTCTTTCTAACACAAAAATTTTGAAAATGTCGAGTGGAGAATTGGAGAATTTTATAAAAAATATATTTTAGAGCGAAAAAATAAAATAAAAGAACTAGACATATTTTTCGAATAAATATTTAAAATTTATTTTAAAAATATAAAAATAATCAAATACTGTCTCTCAAAATTATTATTTATATATTAAAAACATTGAAATGCTAAAAAAAAAATTGTGGGAGAAATTAAAAAATTGTGGGAGCTTTTTGTGGGAGATTTCTAATTGTGGGAGTTTTGTGGGAGTGAGATGTATGTGGGTAAACTAAAAAATTGTGGGAGACTCCCACTGATGGGGGGAGACATGGCAACCCTGTATACACATCATATTTTGTAGGGTTGACAAAAATGGTGATTTTTTTAAAAAAATAATTCGAATTTTAATTAAAGAATTCTGGCTTAAGATTGTAAAATATCGTTTTTTTTAAAGTTTCAGTTTAATATTATTACAAGTAAAGGACAAATGCTCAAGGGAACAAGTCAGGATATTGTTGAAAAATTAAATGAGTTGTAATTTTATATATTTTTTTCATATAAAGAAAGCCGATGATAGATAATATAGGTTAATGATGCTTACTACCTTAAGGTACCATCAAATTTGAATTTTGTTTATTTTTCATTTGGATAGGCACTACCAAATATATTTATAATATATATTTGAAAAATCGTGATTTTTGGAAAGCCTCTATGGCCTAGTAGGCAAGAGCTTGGCTTACTTATCCCATGCTCCCGGGTTCAAATCCCGGGAATGATCATGTTTTTTTTCTTATTCTAACTTGGTGGTTCCATCCTTGGGGGGGATGATATATAGAAGGCCGGACTCGACCACGTAATTCCGTATTAATATATTAAATAATAAGGGTCTTATTACATTTTAATAAATTTTGGTCGGTATTTAGCAAATTAGATTGGTATTTAAAATATTTCCATAATTCACTTGGTAGTAAGCATCATTAACCGATAATATACAGTTATTTTTTTAAAAAAAATATATAACTATCAATATCGGTGTCGAAAGAAGGTCAGCTGATATTGTTTGCCAAAATAATTATATTCTAGAATTTTCTGATTCAAAATACCAAATGGAATTTAGTTTTAAGTCATTGCTATTTCCCAACCGGTTAAGAATTATCCCTATTTAAGATTCTTAAGGGCTTATTTTTCAAATTGTATTTAATTTTCGTTCAGTTTCCTACTATTATTTTTTAAAATCTAGAAGCCGAATTTCGTATTATTGTATAAAAAATAAATAAGTATAAAGGTAATCTATTTTAAAAATGCTTATTATATATAAATTTCTAAAATTATACAATTAAATTCTAATACCAATGTCGACGATATAGAAATTACTTGTGATTTTTAATATATGTTATTTCTTAATTTTACAAATAATTGATTTTTTTTTTATATTAATAAATAAAATAAATAATATTTTAAAAAATACGTATAGATATTTGATATTAGTTTAGTTTTATATTTAGAATATTAAATAATTTTTCATTATTGGGATTAGGATCAGCAGTTATTTTTCTACTATGTCAAAAATTGAAAAAGAAAATAACTTTTTTTAACCTAACAAGTAGCTATTACTAGTGTAATTTGGTTATTTAATTTAGATTTTGCTATATCTAAGTTCTTATCTTTCACTATTTTAAATTTTGATTTTAAATCATTTTTAAAAAAATCGGTGTGATTTAAATAGGATAGCCCATATTTTGTATACTTCGCCGCGAATTCATGCTAGCTATAAATGAGGGGTTAGATGATTATCAACTACGACAAAGTGCGGGACTGAAGCTGGTGAGACCCTACTAAACATTTATTGTCGTATTGGGATACGGAATAAATGGGAATTCGGAATCTTTCAAATTTAATCGATTATTGACGGCCATTTTTAAATTTGAGCCGTTGAATTTGAGGAAACTTAACCGGCATGTGGAGAGTACACCGGACTAGTGTTGTTAAACGGCTCGTTTTGAGCCGATTTTTGAAAACGGCTAACTCAACATTTAATCCAGAATAGTATTACGCAAGCCTGAATATTTTATTTGTAGAAGGAACAAAGGTTTGGACATCTATTAGCGAAATCTCGAGGTTTAAGCAATATTTTTCTGGCTAAAATATTGAGTTAGCCGTTTTTAAAAATCGGCTCAAAACGAGCCGTTTAACAACACTACACCGGACTGCGAATTTCGACAATTATGACGTAAACCTTTGTGTATTTTATTTTTCTTTATATGAAAAATCTATATAAAATAAAAAAATTCGCGGCAAAATTGTCTGAAACTCATAATTTGGGTACTTTGCGCATACTAAATCCGATCATATCTCAGATTGTTCAAATCAAAATTCGCGACAAAATTGTCTAATACTGATAGCGCTGGTGCTCTGCGCATACTGAAATTACATCCAATCAAATCCGATAGTTCAAATTAAAAAATCGCCCTAATAAATTATTTAAAATGGAGAGATTTCGAACCCCCCAAGAAATCCGTATCCCAATACGATGTATATATATAATTATTTTTTGGGTGCGTTATATATTGCAACTTTCCGATAGAGTTGATAAAAAAATATGATCGACAGCATAAAATCTCCTATATTCCAGAAACACCTTGATGAATCAGTTTAGACTATTTCTTACGGCAGACACTCGTGTATTCTCAAATCCAATATGAGTATCTTCAGCAATAGAGTGATACCCGACCCCTCCCATACCCAACATTTATATTTATCCACAATCTTGCGAATAGAGTATCTATTCACGATAAAAAAAATTTAGATTCATATTTATTTTTTGGGGAGAGGGGGGGATAATTTATTAAAGTAATATCATAAAGGTACATAAATTATTTTTTGCAAAATACTCTATTTTTGTGTATTGCATATAAATGAGCACAAAAAAAAACAAAATGCAAAATTTTTAATTTTTACCTCCGCCAGTTAAAACGTGGGAGTACATATTGCTAGCTTTTTGCCAAATACCACCGGACATCTTAAGAAGATTCTAGAGCGAGAAAAGAGAGCGCTAATAATAATTTTGTTGGTGTTATTTTGGTAATAGTGTTTTTTTCGAAGAAAATTTTAAAAAAGCGCCATATAGAAAGCCAAGGTTTAAGAAAAAGGAAGGAATTAATCGTCTATGATTTATAAATGTTCTACTTTATTTTTCGGATTTATAGGGGAAGCGAAAGATATAATTTTATTTAACTTCCTTTGGTCGAAATCGCGTCAGGGTTAAGAAGCTGATATCTAAATTTAGTAGAATATTTAAAAAAAAATATGATATAGATACATATATATTTGTCTAAAATAAAGTAATTTGTAATTATGGCGATAAAGTTATCGCGACTGACGACCTATTAATTTTTTCTAAAATAAAAGAAACCCCTTATGGGAGACCGCCATAGAATATGCACTCTTAAAGTGATCGTAATTTTGGATCGCCTTACTTTTCCTCTATCGGGATTAAATGTATCGATGCCACAATTTTAGCCAAAACCGATATTAATACTGTGTAGACCGATCCTGAAAAATGATAATGACGCATTCTCTATATTAAAAAATTTTAAGTAACGCATAAATCAGCAGTGGTTCGGGAGGCGAGCCGAGGAAAAACTTTTCAGTTCAAAATCTTGAAATTGAGCCCATAGTTTTTGGGGCTAAACACTCGGGCTGAGATAGTTTTAGAGACGGCTCAAGATCCTTCAAAAATTTTTTTGATATCTTGCTGGCGCATTCCAGAATCCAGGGAAAAAGATTAATTTTTTCACGCAAAAAACAAAAATAATATCCTTGGTGATAATTTTGAAATAATTAATTTTTGATCAAAAAAAAAGAATTTACCTGTTTTTAAAAATTTCTTTTACAAACTAATTGTTTATATATAATTAAAAAAATATGAAAAAAAATATAGCATTGATTATTGATGAATTTTATTTAAAAAAAAATAAAATATTGTTTGTTAGGTATATTATAATTGCTCGATAAAAAAAATGTTCAAATATTTATAAGGAAACAAGAAGGAAAAATGTTGACGGGAAGGGTATTCATTCCTTAGATTTGAATTGAAAACATAAAGCAATAAGTATCGGTAACGGGCCGATACTGTATGGTATTCCGCTAAAATTGGCTCAATCTAAATGCGTGTGCTTGAAAAATAATCCGCTAAGCCTTGAGGCGGGAGTTAATTTATCCCAAGGTTTATCTTTTCGAAAGAAAACCTCGAGGCTAACGTGATAGTATTACCCTGCATTCATGGTTAGCGCGAATTCTTGGCTAAATATTCACAAATTATTATATTAATGGCCGCTAAATGTGAATGCAGAGTTAGACTAAAAAAACTGTTTTAGCCGTTATTGGGACTGGCCAATAAAGAAATATGCTAAAATTCTTTAAAATAATGAGGTACCAATATTAATGCGTCGACTACATCTTATTTAACGAGTATATATTCGAAAAATCGCGAAATACTCCATTCACTTGGTATAAAATCTATCTAAATATGGCAATAAAAACGAATATCGAATAGAGAAATCCGTGAATAAAACGAATAGAATAAAAAAAAATAAAGCCACGACCGATTCGAAGGTATTTTTTTTGTGTAGATAATTTATAATCTATTATTAAAAATTTACTAAAAATTACAGGCAAAAAAAAATGTTATACAAATTTTTTTCAGACCAAAAATTAGGTAAAGGACATACTTAATTTTTTTTCTTCATCCGTCAAAAAAGAAAATGACCGACTTTCAACATTTCCCATCCCGAGACAAAGTTTGAATAATTAACTAAAAAAAATACGTCGAAAAATCGTATTGGTAACAAATAGTAAATGGCGTATATAAATAAGCGTGTTATTTGGTGGATTAAATTGTTTTTTTCCGCTCTAAATAATGATAACCCGCCTATTTTTGCTGATTTTCGTTTATATTCATCGGATACGGCTTTTTAGAAAATCCGCCGGTATTCTCCGATAACTCACATCAGCTGATCCAACTAATAATGAGCCCCCCCCCCTCTAAAATTTGATGAAAACACTCAAAAATGATAATTATCAATAAAAATAAATCGCAAGCCAAGAATTGAATTTAAAATGTACATCAATTTCTCAAACAGATAAGTAAAGTTATTAATATTTAAGTTTGTGTTATTCAATTCGTACTATTTTTTTCTTCTTCTAAATTTTGGTGTATAATTTATTTTATATTATTTTTCTTAGAGGAGTTATTTTAGTTTTTTTTTGTAAATTCTCTTTTTTTTTAAAGTTCAATTTTGCGAATATATTATGCAAACGAAAATTAAAAAAAAAAGAAATATTTTACTCCTAAATTAAATATTTGAATTATTCATATTTAATTTTATATTATTAACATAAAATAAAATTATTAAACACAAAAAATAATTTTAAAATAATCAAAGAAAAAATTAAAAGGTCAGTGTGTTTATTTGAGAGCACGATCTGGACAGGTCTTTTATCTGAGGGTTGGTCAAGTACGTTTGCATGGGTCAAGCCCGAACCCATGACCGGAACCTGACCTTCACCAGTTCAATGTGATTTTATTCAACTTTAAATCAAAATCAATTTTTGAGGGCATTTATGAATAGTTGCGTTCCAGCATGCGTAAATACCAACAAACCATATTTATCAAGAAAGAAGGGGAAAATATTTACCGGGAAAAAAGCTTCAATTTATGAGGGAGTGGGAGGGGAGTTATTTTTAAATTAAAAAAAAATATTAAGTGATTTTTTTAAATTATGAAGTGTCCCGGGGAATTATATCCAATGATTCATATAATATTAAAGGGTGTTACAAATATAATATCACTTTTAATTAGACATAAAATTATGTAAACAAACAAATATTGAGACAGGAAATCGATTTTTTCTCATATCTCCACATGACACGCTTTATAAATAGATTTATCCAAAATTTTAACGGGAATTTATTAAATAAATATTATTTCTTATTCCATTTTTTTAAATGTGCTAACCCCTTCATTTTAACCATCTAGCTATAGTGACCCTTTTGAGATAAATTTAAAAAAAATAAATTATTTATAAAATGTTCACCTCAAGTTATTTTGAGTGGACACTTTATGGAGGTTTTAATGTGTGCAAATCAGAAATATGCAGGCCTGACCCGGAGCCATGCTCCGCCCGGATATGGGGTTCGGTCAATCTTTTTTAAAAAAATATTAAATTGTTATATAATTATTTTCAATGAATGAAAGAAAAAGGAACATGAAAATGATTTGTTTTGGATTTTTAGCGAGGAATAATGCATTAGGATACAGATTACTGTTGGCTACTATCAAAGGCAGTTATTTGGATCAAGACTGCCACATTTGATTATAAATTGTAATTTTCGGAAAGCGTATCTGGTCTAGTCGATAAGAGCGTGGCTAGCCAATAAGATAATTCTGGGATCGAATCCAGTAAGGATCATATATTTTTTTATAAAGTCAACTTGGAGGTTCCGCCCTAGTGGGAATGATATATAGGAGATCGGAAGTAAACGCATGATTCACACATGATATATAAAAAAGGATATTATTGCATTTTAAAAAATAATTGGTTGCTGTTTAGCAATGTTAGCTTTTGTCGTTTAGGCATCGACGTGGTAACGTATCCAAAAAAAATTGCAACGATTTAACTATTTTAATAAATAATTAATGTATAAATATCATATTTTTTTAAAATATACACGGGCCAGGCCTAAATTATTTTTAAATACTAGTGCTGGGTAGGACCGAATATTTTAAATCGCCATTATTATCTATAAAAATTTAAATAACAATATATGGCATTCATTCACTTATCATATTTCCCTATTTCCATATTTTCAATCTTTAAAAAATATTTAATAGTAAAATATTATTCAACTAATCATCATTGATTTGCTATAGACTTAATTATGAATAATCGATAAATTAAAAACAACCAATAGGTGATTAATTTTTTTTCCTTTTTATTTTTAACGTTTTATAAATAAAATCAATAAGGGAAAAAGTCATAATTATTCACACTTGTTTATATTTGCACAAGTGTTTTTTTTATTTCAATAAATTTTAAAATATTATTTTCTAAGGTGCGCAAATAATTATAGTTTTTTTTTGCAAAACTATAATCTTAATTTCTTTTAATCTTTTTTTGGTTTTGTTCTTTTTTTTCATAATTTTTCTTCTTTTGATTAGGTTTTCCGCTTCCATCCTTAAACGTCGCTTACGGCAATATATATGCCTTTAAAATAGGCGTCCAGTTTAAGATTTAATATTGGGATGAGGGCCATTCCAGAAATAAATTGCCGGGAGAAGGGGGGCTGGAAAGACGTTTAATTTTCTTTGTTTCTTGATCATGCCCATATTTTATAAGAGCGACCCTAGTTTGGAAACGAAGCATTCCCTAAAATCTCCAGGAGAAACAGGAAACGGATATAATTAATAATTAACTGTTTGGAAGCGGAACTCCGAAGGCCTCATTAAATTTAACAATCGAAACGAGAACACAGAACACTTTATTAGATTTTTGGAACCAAAACTATAGTCACTTTATTTAAACATTCTGAACCGGAAACAGATATAGCTACGGTAATCAAATTTTGGCTTTATATCGTAATTCATCGAACCCTCTAAAAAAAACATTTTACATACCATAATAAATATTACTAAAATACGCATTCATTCACTTATTTCTATCACCTAATAATAATAATAATAAAAAATTGTTTTCTTTATCGTACATAATAAAGTGGGTTAAAGGTAGTAAAAAAAAATGAAAAATTAATATATATCAAATTAGCTCTTAAAGGCAATATTTTCATTTCTCGTGTAAAATACAATTTAAAAAGAAAAATTTAATTATTCTGCTCTTTATACAAATATCGTCGGTTGAGGATTATAGTGTTCTATATTCACTTCTTTTTATAAATCGATCCTTTAGTACTAAAATATTCAAAAAAAATCTTATCAAATTAAAAGTTTTAAGAATTGCATAACTTTTTTGATTAATTTATTTAGCAAAAATTACAAAATTTTAATGATAAAAAAATGATTAATTTTCAACAATTAAAAATCATAAAACGATCGCGAGCTAAAAAATTTTTATTAAG